TATATTTTAAAGCACATGTTTGATCATTAACCTTTTGTTTATAATAACTACTAACTAACTTACTAATTATTGTTTATAATCGCGTTATTTATTGAAAAAAAATTTAAAAAGATCAGAGATTTTTATTTAAAAAAGGACAAAAATTGCACACACGTAAAAACCTAGCATTATATCGGATTAAAAGAATTCATTGGTAAATGCCTTTTGAATTTGCAATCGAACCATGCCTGGCAACTTGAAAACAAACAGCAAGCAAAGCGAAGCAAGTTCAAAGTTCACACCTAAATTATATACATAACAATAAATGCTGTTGCAGTATCTTAGGTTTATAAAGATAAGTGTGTTCGACGCGTGAACAGCGTTTCATGTTTCTTTGTGTGAATGAAGTAAAATATTACGTATCTCATTATTAGTGATACAATACTCCCTGTTTTATCAACCCGCACGTGCCGATGGTGCCCCAATAATCTTGCCTATTTCTTTAGCGAAGCCATGATGCGTTACGACTTTAACTGCAGCTATGCATTGACTGGAGACTTTGATTTTATACCTTAAGGTGGCGGTTATCTTGTAATGTTTATGGCCTTCGATAACTTTAATATCAGGTGAGAGGTGCACTCGTTTGCCCAACCAGAGCAATAATAACGGGTACTATATAGTTTGAAATTCGTACAGGTCATGTCCTCAGAGTTTTACCGCATGGTCTTCTATTTATGTCCAACAAGTGTCAAGCAATGAACTCTAATAAAATATTGTGCAGCATTCAGCAGATGAGTAATCCAGTGTCGAATAACTTCACAGAACAGTCTTTTTGAAAGTTAAATTTCACCGTCAATCATTGCGTGACGCATACACTTACCGCTTTTAAGTTACCATTCGGCTCGATCTATAAAATATAAATAAATGTAAGAATAGATATGTTATTGAAAGCCACGAGGGTCATTGAAAGAACATCAACCTCAAAAGAAAAAGCGTTAAGACACGACAAACCGTCATATGCATTCGTTTTAGCGCTGAACTGACCATATGTATGCATAGTTTGATATTAGATTCATGAAAACTACCAAACAGTTGAATGAAGTCAATTGATTGTAAAGTCATTTGCACTTTCGCGTGAATTTGTGTATTAAACGATAATATCATTTATATGAATGCTATGCTCTGAGTTTGAGATCAAATCAAGATGAGGAGATTCGCAGGAAAACCTTCATAACCGATATGGCCCAAAGGATTGCGACCTTGAAGTTGCGGTGGACAGGGCACATTGCTCGTAGAACAGATGGCCGCATGGGCCGAAAAGTTCTTGAGTTGCGACGGCGTCCAGAAAACACCACTCCTTCCACAACGTGGACCGATCACCTATTGAAGTTCGTTGTGGTCGTCAAGGTCGTTGTGGCAAGGCTTGGGGAGGCCTATGCCCAGTAGTGGCCGTCTGTGGGATTGAAGAAGAAGATGAAGCTTTCGTGGTAGCCTAAGGGGCTATTCTAGATACTCGTAAACGGTTAGGTGAGCTCACGGGCTCAACCTGAGAGAATTTGTTAACACTAGCCCTAGTAAAAACAGTGCTTCGCAGATTCTACCACCGGATCGGAATCGCAACCCACTGAAAAGATCCAGTAAGAAACTCAGTGGGTTGTGTCTATGGGTTAATTTGCTCGTCGAATAGTTCCTAATCGATGAGTTTGATGAGGACGGTAATCGGTGCTTGAAGAGCCTAAAAGCAACGAGAGTGCCGCTTTTCGTTGCCCCGTCGTCTGGATCGAAGATGTATTATAGTCAATTATCGTGTCGCGCCGCTTTGTCGAAGTAGCGGTCTGACGCTACTTTAAGATACTTACGTATCAGGTCTATCTTTAGATCGTCGTGAAGACGGCAATCCTGCAGAAGCGGAATTGGATGACCTTGAGAGACTTCTCTCTCGAAGCACAGATGCGCTATTGTTTAAAACCTAAATTAATCGTAACCAAGAATTTTAGTAACTTATTTTTCCCTTCAAATAAAAGTTTCATATTTAGTATGTAAATTCTTCATTAAACCTAAATAGTTTTGAACACATCCAGAGAAAAATTAAAATACCCTATTATTTCTTCCCGTCGACTAATGTAGAAGCAAATAATAATACGTATTGTGAAGAACGTCAATGAGTCGTTGTGATATCGGCTTTAATCACAAGCTGTTAGAATGTGCGCCGTATCAAAACTAGGTTAATTATAGTATTGAAGTGTATTAATGGGCGTCGTTGTACGAGCTTGAATCACATCCAATTACCATGCCGTGTAGTGTTTTATATGCTTATGTCGTTAGGGAGTAAAATGTTATCTTATCGATTGGTATGTTTTTTTTTTATTGTTTATTGTGCAGATTCCGAAGGTCGGATGAAGCGACGCATATTTATTTAGTTATTCTTGTAAGAAATGATAAGATCTTTCAGCGAGCGAGTGTTGTGACTCAATACAGCGACAGTCCTAATGTTTTTGTTCTAACTTGTGTGCTTATTACATATATGCAAGATTTTTTTGAAAATTTTGTGTACGTGATACAGTTATTTTGTGTGTACAATTATAAATCAATCTTCTTTTTCTTCACCTTATCCTACTAGGTGGGGTCGGCACAGCTAATTTTTCTCTTCTATTATTTTCTATCAGCCGTCAGCTCAACACTCACTCCTCTCTCTCTCTCTTTCTCTCATATTCACACACTCCATCCATGTGTTTTTGTAATGTCGTCACAATTTTAAATCAATCAAACAAAATTCATTACTAATTCATTCATTACTAATTCATTCAAAATTCATTCAATCAAACAAAATTCATTACTAATTAATACATCTTTTTATATATGTATTAAAACACTGTAAAAAAGGTTCTTCTCCTTCTTCTCTGTTTTTCCCCATTGTTGAGGATCGTGACTCTACTCTAGTCTTCTTCATGTTTCTCTGCACCGATTCCTATCTTTGAGAACCACGTTGCCCAAACCATTTCTAGCTGCTGAATGACCTGATCAAACCACCGACATACTAAAGCTTTTAAAAATCAAAATAAATATCTCTCAAGCTTGTTAATTATAAAAAATAATAAGGTTTTAAAACAAACTACAACTGATAACAAAATCATAATAAACATCTGGCTAAAATAATGGTAAATGTACATATAGTATACAGTAGATTAGAACTGTAGATTATTGGCGGCGACTCATTTTGGTTTTGTATACGTATATATTGATGATACTTTATTTCACACTAGAGGTCCCGCAGTAGTCGAAATTCGACTATAATTAATTGGAATTGTAAGTTTGTACACTATTATGATTGTATTTAATACTTCTATGATCACAAATTTCGCCAAAGCTACTCTATAAAAAAATATTAATAAAGACAAACAATATTTAATCTATTTATCTCAATTTGACCACAGACGTAAAGAACAAAAGTTTGACAATAAATAGTATGCATGCGTGTGTGCGTCAAATACATGGTATGTAGTGTGTGTAATGTTTTCTTTATTGATTTAATGTATCTTTTATGCATTATTTAAAAAAAATATTAGCATTGTGCACTTCTTCTCTATATTCTCTATAAGTGTGGAAAATTTCATACTCCTCCGTCCGTGCAATTTTCGTAAAAAGGAATACAAAGTTTTTGTTTCACGTATTAATATATAGATATCCTTATTTAATATTGCAAATATTTCATACAAATAGTAAAAATGCGGAAGTGTTTGTTTGTCCTTCTTTCACGTCGAAACGCAGCAACGGTTTGAAACCTTTTAAACTGACTTTTAGTTCAACATAGCCACTGAGTTTCTTCCTGGATTTTCCCAGTGGGTCGCGATTCCGATCCGGTAGTAGATTCAGCGAATCACTGTTCTTGCTAGGGCTAGCGTTAGTAATTCTCTCAGGTTGAGCCCGTGAGCTCACCTACCAGTCCACGCGAAGTTGGAATATCCCCTTAGGCTATCAACGATTAGGTAGAAAAAAAAAGTTCAACAATGTTACATAGGCTACCTTTTATACCTGAACAACCTCTTTCCATGGGAAACTGCACAGACACTTCCTTGATCACGCGGGCAGAGCCGCGGTTAACCGCTAGTAAATATATAACTACTAATGTTGTTTGCTATAATTCTAGTCTTACTCTCATACTAATATATAAAGGAATCGAGGAGCTTCTGTTAACCGAAAGGAAAAAGATTCGTAATATCGCTATCTATATCAAAGATTGGTGAACAAGTCGGGCCAGGCTTACTGGTGGTAGGACTTCTTGTGAATCCGCACGGATAGGTACCAACCCCGGTAACTGTACTCGTCGAACTCGACAAAGAGGTCGACGTGCGACCTAACCCATGCATCAGCCCGCTGAGTTTCTCGCCGGATCTTCTCAGTGGGTCGCGATTCTGATCCGGTAGCAGATTCATTCGCAAAGCAATTGCTCTTTAGTTGTTAGGTCTCTTTCGGAGGCGCTCGGGTAGTTGTTAGCAAATCCCACCCCTACTGGCTGAGCCTTTGCTCGCCCACCTGTCCTGGTGAAACTGGAAAGGCTTTCGGGCCACCAGTAATCTTTCAATAATAAAAAAAAGGGTAGGTACCACCACCCTGCCTATTTTTGCCGTGAAGTGGTAATGCGTTTCGGTTCGAAGGGTGGGGCAGCCGTTGTACTGAACTGAGACCTTAGAACTCATGTCTCAAAGTGGGTGTCAGCATTTAAGTTGTAGATGTCTATGGGCTCCGGTAACCACTTAACACCAGGTGGGTCGTGAGCTCGTCCAATCGCGTAAGCAATAAGAAAATGAAAAAAAGGTTTGACTAGTTCTTTATATGTTCTCCAAATTTAAACATACATATCTCTAGTATTATACTGAAACCTTAGAGCTTATCTCGAGGAGGGTGGCGGCATACGTTGCAGATGTCTATGGGCTCAGGTAACCACATAGCTACCTAAGCAATAAAAAAAGTATTTAGTGACCAAAAATTTCAGTAAAATAAGGTTATTTTATTGTTCACAGGTATGAGTGGGGTGGCCACATCGAAAATGTTCCTGAAACTAAACTCAAGAACTTCAAGAACGTTGAGGAAACAATAGGGGATAAGTTCCTATACTAGGTCTCTTAGCACATCGTAATAGATGCTAGTTTCGTTTAACAATGGATACGCTTCACGTTACCCACGCTCACAGTAAAGGGTCCAGCCGGAGCCAGTCGCCTTCCGCCGCGGACCTCGCCGTGGTTACCGATGACGCGGTCATCAGGTCAAGGGTACAATCTCCATCTACCGTACATCATGTTGTTAGTGTGAGTATGAAATATGTAATTGATGCTTTTTAGAAGGAAGCGTGTAGATAATTATTCCATAAAGGTTTTGAATTAAAATAATACATAAACAAAAAGTGTTATGACGCCTTATAATTAAATTTATTCGTAGTTTACCTTGTAATTAAGTTTACAGGTTTTTGACGATCGTTTTAACAAGTCTCATTTTATTTAACGAGAAATTTACACGAATGCTGAATTCCTTTTCAAAGTTTAAATTAAATTACAAATATTAATCTTTTAATTAAAAAAAATACATTCAATACATTAGCAGTGATTTACTGTTATTTCTCTCGTAGTCTCGTTCGCAAAACTTTTCGCATTTTCAAGCGATGCAGTAATTAGTTAATATTACGAATAAAGCACTTGAGAAACAAAGACGATGCGACAGCGTAAAAGAATTTGCCTTTTTAATCGTCCATTGTGTTGACCTTAAATCGTGTTCAAAAAGTTTCAATCATTATTAATTCCAAATTAATGCCGTAATATTTAGCAAAAGATTTAGCGCTAGAAATAGTTACAAAGTCGCTTTCTCTGTCCCTATATCTGTCCCGATGTATGCTTAAATCTTTAAAACTACGCAACGGATTCTGATGCGGTTTTTTTAATAGATACAGTGATTGAAGAGGAAGGTTTATATGTATAATAACATCCATTAAATAGTGGAGAAATCAATAATAAATTACAGTTTCCGAAGCGAGGCGAGGGCGGGTCGCTAGTAATTTTATAAACGGTAAATTTTATATTCTCGTAATCAACAAACATTGTTAACATGAGCCTCAATAACATGTTCACGTCTGAGTTAAGACAATAGCCTACACTTTACCGATATGTTGGCTTATTCGTGGAAAGAATGTTGGATAATATCGTTTTTCCAATCTACAAACAATACTAAGAATGCGTTATTCTCATGCTGGCAAACATTTATGCGTACTTCATGTTTGAGTGGTACTCATTCGAGCCACGGTATAGCTACTGCAAAAGAAGTATTATTAAGTCAATGCGTCATACGGTCCACAGTAAACTGGCCTAAACTAGCCAATTTTTTTGTCCAATGGGTGCCGAAATACAGATAATCTGGAAAAGTCCATAATTTAGGATATGGTAACGCGTAATTACGGTACGGAAGGTAAAAAGCCCTCGGGGAAGAAATCCTAGATGTTGGTTGGACCGATTGGCTGAAAAACTTAAAATACCAATGCCTCAGACTCTCCATAATTAGTGAGTGAACACCTTGATAAGGAGGAGATTGAATGCAGAATACACCCAAACCTCGAGTACCAAGTGCCAAATCTCTGTTTTTTGAGTACTTAGGGCAATACGAGTATCCCGGCAGGAATTGGAAGAAGAGGAGGACTTCGGTCTTCCTCTTCTCTCTCTTCTTTTCTGGAGGCGCCGGAATCCGACATAACCCGGTCTGTTACCACCACCCTCGACCGGATATCCGTAAATAGACTCCCCAGCATTAAAAAAAAACGAGTATGCGCTACATGAACAAGGCGGTCAATAATTATTATAAGATTTGGATTGTCACGGACCGTTTCAAAATAAAATCGCGCGTGTGATGGTACAACTTCCTTAGTAGATATGGTGACAGTAACCACCTTCTCTGGCTTTGGTGACAGTAACCACCTTCTATCAGATAGGACGGTACATTGTATTTCATTTGTTTATTGAGCCCGTGTTCGAAAAGAGTTACGAGTTTAAGGAGTGGTGCATTGATTTAAAAAGGTTTAATGTTTTTCGATAAAAGCTTTAAAAAATGCTAGTGGTCCCGCAGTAGTCGAAATTCGACCATAATTAATTGGAATTGTAAGTTTGTACACTATTATGATTGTATATATAATACTTCTTTAATCACAAATTTCGCCAAGACTACATTATAAAAAACTAGAGATCCCGCAGTAGTCGACATTCGACTATAATGAATTGGAATTGTAAGTTTGTACACTATTATGATTGTATTTTATACTTGTATAATTACAAATTTCGCCAAGACTACACTTTAAAAAATATTAACAAAGACAAACAATATTTAATCTATTCTCAATTTGACAACAAACGTCAAGAACAAAAGTTTAACAATAAATAGTATGCATGCGTGTGTGCGTCAAATACATGGTATGTAGTGTGTGTAATGTTTTCTTTATTGATTTAATGTATCTTTTATGCATTATTTAAAAAAAATATTAGCATTGTGCACTTCTTCTCTATATTCTCTATAAGTGTGGAAAATTTCATACTCCTCCGTCCGCGCAATTTTCGTAAAAAGGGATACAAAGTTTTTGCTTCACGTATTAATATATAGATATTAACAAAGACAAACAATGTTTAATCTATTCTTAATTTGACAACAGACGTTAAGAATAATTGACAATAAATAGTATGCATGCGTGTGTGCGTCAAATACATGGTATGTAGTGTGTGTAATGCTTTCTTTATTGATTTAAAGTATCTTTTATGCATTATTTTAAAAAAATATTAGCATTGTGCACTTCTTTTCTATATTCTCTATAAGTGTGGAAAATTTCATACTCCTCCGGCCGCGCAATTTTCGTAAAAAGGGATACAAAGTTTTTGCTTCACGTATTAATATATAGATTTCGATCAGAAGATTGTATAAAACTGATAGAAAAATTCAAAAAGATATCTCGAATGCTTAACGACGATTGATCAGTTTTGTTCAGTGGTTAATTTTAGAACATACTCGTAATTGTTAATTAGTACATCGCGTCAGTGACAGGGAAAGATCTAAGGACGCGCGAAAATCTTTGAGTAAACACGTTCACCTTTGAGAGGAATATAAGAATCGTAGTATTTAAGTAGTCGAAGTCGTCGTGGCCTAAGGGATAAGACGTCCGGTGCATTCGTGTTGAGCGATACACCGATGTTCCAATTTCCAATCTCAGGCTAATTGGTACCCAATTTTTCTAATGAATTACGTACTCGACAAATGTTCACGATTAACTTCCACGGTGAAGGAATAACATCGTCTAATAAAAATGAAACCTGCAAAATTATAATTTTCGTAATTACTCGTGGTAGGACCTCTTGTGAGTCCGCGCGGGTGGGTACCACCGCCCTGCCTGTTTCTGCCGTGAAGCAGTAATGCGTTTCGGTTTGAAGGGTGGGGCAGCCGTTGTGACTATACTGAGATCTTGGATCTTATATCTCAAGGTGGGTGGCGCATTTACCATATAGGTTGTAGATGTCTATGGGCTCCAGTAACCACTTAACACCAGGTGGACTGTGAGCTTGTCCACCCATCTAAGCAATAAAAAAAAACTTAGTCTAATGCTAAAATAACATTATTATTAAAATAGTTCTTGATAAATTATTCATTGCGCACTGCTTTTCTATTATGGAAGTCGTCGCGTTTCAAAAGGTAATGGAAATCGAATTACTCATGGATGCACAGGTTTCATGTCCTTGTCATGTCAGGAATGTTTAGCGACAACGATATCAATAAAGAACGCAGTTTTATTATTTATATTCAATCATTCATTTTATAATATTTTTTTATAAGATATTAGTTGTATCAGAAGATTGCTTCTAAAATGGCTTCAAGTTAAAAAGACAGCAGTTTGTGAAGAAAGTGATTATTACAACATTTACAACAGCACTAGTCTGATATAGTCATAGGTGTCTTGACTATGTCCATGGCATTGCTGAAATGCATGAGCAACGGTGACTACTAACCGTCAGGTGGGTCGTACACTCGTGTGTATGCAAAAGCAATAAAAAATATCTGAAAAATTCAATCATAATTCGCCGACCCAAAAATTTCGATCTTTAACCATAATACGTGTGGATCTCTATCGTGGAATCAAGACAAGCCCTTTTTTCCCTACCTAATCGTTGGTAGTTTAAACGGCTGTTCCAACTACATGCGGACGTGTAGGTGGGCTACTGGGGCTGAAAGGACTTACTAACACTATTATGAACAGTACTTCGCCCAATCCACTATCAGATCGAAATTGCGACCCACAGAGAAGATCCGGTGAGAAGCTCAGCAGAAATGCGTTTCGGTCTGAAGGGTAGGGCAGCCGTTGTAACTATACTGAGATCTTAGAACTTATATCTCAAAGCGGGTGGCGCATTTACGTTGTAGATGTCTATGGGCTCCAGTAACCACTTAACACCAGGTGGGCTGTGAGCTCCTCCACCCATCTAAGCAATACAAAAAAAATGTAAAGTTTCATTTATAGTTTAATAAAAAAAATGTAACTGCAAAATTTATAAAACATTCTGATCAAAATTAGTTTTCTTGTCTAGCCGTAATTCAGCATATCGTTGAAAGTCAGCCAAGTCTAACGAGAACGTTATAATGTGAAACGAAGTTGCCCGCTCCCGACAGAAGTCCGAACCCTTGACCCTTGGCCTCGTGTCGTTGACCCGACCCCACCAGTCCAATGATACGTCCCGACTGAACTAACACAAATTCTTTTACAAATCATTTACTTTTTACAACTCTATAAAATTCATATCAGCGCATACTATGCGCTTTATATTTTTACTGAATATGATAGTAGTACCTTGTCTGTGTTCGGTCACAGGGGTCCATAATGTGAATACCGCCATTTTGACAAAATTAAATGTTGTTTTTTTTTTTTATTGCTTGGATGAGTGGACGACCTCACAGCCCACCTGATGTTAAGTGGTTACTGGAGCCCATAGACATCTACTACGTAAATGCGCCACCCACCTTGAGATATAAGTTCTAAGGTCTTAAGTATAGTTACAACGGCTGCCCCACCCTTTAAACCGAAACGCATTACTGCTTCACGGCAGAAATAGGCAGGGTGGTGGTACCTACCTACCCGCGCGGACTCACAAGAGGTCCTACCACCAGTAAAAAATTGAATTCCTATTTCTTATTATTTAGATGGGACGATCTCACGGATCATCTACTGCTAAGCGATTATCGGAGACCACAAACCTCTTGAGCTTGAGACATCATTTCTAAGTCTCAATTTTTATAATACACTAGCGACCCGCCCTCGCTTCGCTTCGGAACATTAAAACACACATGAAACAAAAAAAAAAAAAAAAAGTAGCCTATGTTCATCAGGGACAATGTCGGCTTCTAATGGAAAAACAATTTTTCAAATCGGTCCAGTAGTTTCGGAGCCTATTCGAAACAAACAAACAAACAAATCTTTCCTCTTTATAATATTAGTATAGAAAAGCCTAACAGCCTTTCAAAGTTATCAGGTACCTACCACAAGTCAATTGCATTGGAACAAGTATCACTACCTGCAAAACTTGAATGCATTGATTGTTTTACGGAAGGAATAAGCAGGTAGATGCTTGTCTTATCCGCATAAAACACATCCTAGTACGAGTAAATGAACAAACGAACTTATAATAATACTTTTGGGAAGATTTACAAACCTTACACCTTCATTCGTGGCGACAGCGAAATACAAAATAAGTTTTCTCACCTTTACGTACATATATATTTTTAAGTTATCGTATCGACTGTGTCTCTATCTATTCACCTTTATTATTCTACCACCAATCCTTGTTCAGAACGCCCATTCCACTTTGGTTATGTCGCGATTCCGATCTGGTAGTAGATCGAGCGAAGTATTGTTCTTGGGCCAATGTAAGTTCTCTCAGGTCAAGCCCCATGAGCTGGCCTACAAATTCGCATGCATATATGTATAGTAGAATTATTTTGTCCGTCAGTTTGGGTCATAAAACATAGCCCGGCTAGGGCGGTGAGCATAGTGCGCGGGCGCAACGCCATTATCGATAAAAATAAATGAATCATCGAGACATTGTTATGTTAAGTCATTTGTACTTACCTGCAAATTATAGTACACAATGTTGAAGAGTAATGTGTTTTTATGCATTTGTTCTCTGAATTTCTTTAGTGACACAATGGCTACTCCTTTGTTTTGTATCAAAACGCAGAATTTATTCAAAATAATATTTGCACGTGTTGTCAACAATGTGTTAAAATTTTTCACTGAAATAAGAATAAGTCCCAAAAAGTTACAAAGTGTTAATTTCTGCCGTTCTCGTTAACTTGCTGCGGCGATATGTGGTGCAAGTGTTCGATTAGTGATTCTTTCTTTCATTTTTATCACTAACCCACGAAATGACAAAACTAAATACACTATCGATAACGCTTATCGACAACAATAATGCGCATCACTATGCCCGTCCATAAGGCTCGTGAGTGGAAGAGAGAGCGAAATACTCGCTTCACCGCTCCCGATTTTTTATGACCCAAACTGCACGGACAAAATAATTGTACTATAGTTGGAATAGCTTTTTAATCTACCAACGATTAGGTAGGGAAAAAAGGGGTTGTCGTGATTCCACGTTAGATATCCACACCTATTATGGTTGAAGATTGAAGTTTTCGGGTTGGTAAATTATGATTGAATTTTTTTAGGTTTTTCTTATTGCCTTTGTATACATACAAACGTACGTCGCACCTGACGGTAGGTACTAGCTAGTCACCGTTTTTCATGCCCTTCAGCAATGCTAGGGTTACAGCCAAGATACCTATGATTATATCTAACTAGTACTGTTTGTAAATGTTGTAATAATTACTTGCTTCAAAAATTTTAGAAGCAAATAAATAAATAAATATTTACTAACAATGACGCCACGTTGTCCCGTGCTAAGTTCGTAAAGAACTTGTGTTACAGGTACCAGATAACGGAAATAAATATAAGATTTTTATTATACACATACATATATATAATATACATCCATAACCCTAGAAAAGTCATTTTATATTTATCATACAAATATCTTCCCTTGGGGGGATTCGAACCTGCGACCCCCTTGTGTAGTGACCATGTCACTTACGACTACAGCAGACGGCCGACGGTATGACGAAGACCAGCAATCTTCCGTTATTATGAAAATGTTATAACATGAATTATCTATCTATATATATAAAAATTAATTGCTGTTCGTTAGTCTCGCTAAAACTCGAGAACAGCTGGGTCGATTTGGCTAATTTTTGTCTTGAATTATTTGTGGAAGTCCAGAGAAGGTTTAAAAGATAGATAAATATGAAAATCCTCGGAATTAAACAAAAATAACAATCTTGTTTTTCCTTTGATGTGTCCCCCGACGGACGGATTCCTTTTGTTTGTTTTAAGTTTATTTTATACAAAAGTTTAGGTCTTTTATTTATCGGTTGAGGCACTACGAAGTCTGCCGGGTCAGCTAGTCAAATATAAATAATAAAGCTGCGTTATTAATTGATACCCTTGTCGCTAACTTTCGTTATGTCCTCCCATGCCCGTATCTATGTATGGTATGGCTTGCAACGTAAACTATATTATGAAGAAAGAAAAAATATTTATTTTAAATACAAACACTTTTAAAGAGGTCTGTAACTTTCGTAAACGGATTCGGTGTTAAAGAGGCGTATCGTCATTAACAAAAATAACTCCGAGACTGCACAGTGTGCATCATCGGGGCATGCTTGTTTACGTGCGTACCATTGGTTCGACATTGTTTTCAGATCAGGTTACTGTTCATTGTAGTGGAAGCTTTCGGCATAACAACACTATAAAATTACGGCCAAAGTGCATATACTAAGTGTGTGTTAAAATTGTTTCTGGAGTAATTAAGTAATATAAAAACCAGATTATTTTTTAAGGCATTAAATTGTAAAATTAATTGTAAAAAAGTTATCACAGAATTTAAAGCCTGACAGTGTAGTGTATAAACTACAAGAAATATCCAAACAACTTTTATATTTCATTTTTAAAAGCTCAAAGTAGACTTAAGCTTTAAAATTAACGGTTAATTCCTTTACGTAAAATTCATGGCGCATTTGTTTTCACCTACACTGCGCAGTGGAATGCAATTAATTATGTTTTTTTTTTGTTCCGTCCTCATATCTCTGTAAAGGCAATGTAATGTCATTAATCTACAATCATTTAATCCTGTTCTTATCTATAAGCGAATATTATTTAGATGGTCCTAAAAGGTAATAATAATATTGATAGATTTAATTCGTTTTCAGGAGCCGTCTTCAAGTTCATCATCTCGTCACGGCGATAGAACGCATCACGCCAAGTCTCATTCACGAGATCTCGGTAACAGTCCTCTTACCGCCAACGCCACGGGAAATACATCCAGAGAGTTAGTACCGTAGCTGTTTTTGAAATTAATTAAAAGATATTCAATCGTTCTTTTGACGTTTACTTCACTATTATTGATCCGAGGATCAAACGGCCGTCTGGTGTAGTGGTAAGTGACATGGTCACTACACAAGGGGATCGCGGGTTCGAATCCCGCCAAGGGAAGATATTTTTATGATAAATATAAATGTCTTTTCCAGGGTTATGGATGTATATTAAATATATGTATGTGTATAATAAAAATATTACATTTATATCCGTTATCTGGTACCTGTAACACAAGTTCTTTACGAACTTAGCACGGGACCAGTTAACGTGGCGTGATTGTTAGTAAATATTTATTTATTTATTAGTTCCATACCCACATTCATGTGGCAATGAATTTGCTTTGTGTCTCGATGCCTTATCTCTATATAGTATTTTATGGTTTTAATACGCGTATTTTTTTTTCCATCTACCTGTGATGTACCTATTTGTTATTAACAGTTTTCGTGGTCGTTGATAACTTATTAGTCAACATTTGTATATTGTTGAAGCTAACTGTCATAGAACCATCAATGTACGACAAATAGCGCTCGATTAATTCAAAGAAACAAGTTTTTCGTTCAATTATGTAGTGATAGTTACAGAGAAGCATAAGCGTATTCACTGGTTAAAACCAATAGATACCGAACTAATAATTATATTCATCTTTTTATATCCTGTTGATACTGGAATATTAGAGCGATAAAACTAATGTGCAAATTTTCATGTTAATACAAATGTACGTACGTACCAAGAAACGCCCGTTGAGTTTCTCGCCGGATCTTCTCGGTGGGTCGCGTTTCCGATCCGGTGGTAAATTCCGCGAAGCACTCCTCTTGCTAGGGCCAGTGTTAGTAACACGCCCGGTTTGTTCACCTACACGCTAGGGTAACGCTGATATAGCCTCTCAAGGCTATCAGCATAGGAAAAAAAAAAAAGAAAATAAAATCGTACTAAAAATACTAATATTTCAATTACAGCTTAGAAGATTCGCCGCAGAAGAAGATTCTGTCAGGTCTGATGGCTCCAGGCGACTATGCCAGTAACGTATACAGCCCCAACGTATCGTACGCTCTCTCTTCGGACGAATACGGCTCGCCGGCGTACAGGAGTGAGTCGATATTCGATTTTGACACTGACATTGGAATGTACGATTTGCATAACAATCGATTACGACATATCTAATTTGTTTTATGTATTACTAGCGACCCGCCCTCGCTTCGCTTCGGAAACTGTAATTTATTATTGATTTCTCTACTATTTAATGGATGTTATTATACATATAAACTTTCCTCTTCAATCACTCTATCTATTAAAAAAAACCGCTTCAAAATCCGTTGCGTAGTTTTAAAGATTTAAGCATACATAGGGACAGAGAAAGCGACTTTGTTTTATACTATGTAGTGATAATTAAATGTTTTTATGTTTATTTGTTTATTTCTATGCATTTGTGCGTGTTTTATCGAACAAAGTCGAAGCTCAAACATTGTCGTTGCCATTTTACGGAATTTCTTTTGCCATGTATATACCACGGGTGGCGCCCTAGTCGTCTTTGTTAATGCACCTTTCAAATATTAATGATAGAAATTATTTATACTAACTGTCTATGTTAAATCAGCTCAGAAATTTCGGACAAGGATACGGAGTGACATCGGGCCTAATAGTAAATTCATATTATCATTAGGAAAAAAGCTTTAGTGAATAATTTGGACTAGTCGTAAATTTCAAGTATTGAGTTTATATTTTAAAAAAATATTTACTTATATTTATGTATTTGTATGTATTTCAGGTCAAGATGGTGATTACTCGACTCAAGGTAAGATCAAATATGTTTGTTTTTTTGTTGGTTTTGTTGAAAATATTGTAATTTTGTATCCAATAGTAGTAAACCATTAACTAAGATTATAAGACCATAAATTAAGAAAAGGGTGAAGGGTTTCTTTAGCCATAATATATACGATCAAGTGAGTCGTACGTTGGTACTTTCAGTTCTAAAACCTTGAAAAAACTTAAATCTGGTAGGACGTGAGTACGCACGGGTAGGTACTACGACCCTGCCTATTTCTGCTGTGAAGCAGTAATGCGTTTCATTTTGAAGAGTGGGGCAGCCGTTGTAGATGTCTATGCGCTCCGGTAACCACCTAACATCAGGTGGGCTGTGAGGTCCACCCACCTAAGCAATAAAAAATAACCTTAATATATAAATGGCGTTAGTTACAGCTGCATGCGACTGTACATTGGTACTGTCTATGCACTTTTGATTTTTTTTTTGATTAATGCTCGATAAACGACAGGTATCTATCATAGAACAAAATAAATTTGACATAAACCGAAACCTCACTAAAGATATTTTCAAGATAACTTTCATATATAAAAGTTCCGAACAATAATAATAATGCACTATAGAGTTGAGATTTGAAACGAATGTCTCAAGGTGGGTGACGCACTTACATTGTGGGTGTCCATGGACTTAAATTAGTTGGGCCGCAAGATTGTTCACCGGTCTAAGCAAGAAAATAAATTGCTGGGAAACACATAAGTTTAATAATATAATTGTTTTCAGATGAAGCAGATGGTACCAACGCTACATCGACTAAAGCGCAAGCGGCCATCGCTCATCTGAACAACAAGATTGAACGTACTAAAGAACTGATACGGCTCGAGCAGACCATCAGAGACGGTGAGACTGATTATTATTAATTTTTTTTTTTATTGCCCTTGTAGGCTGACGACCATACGGCCCACCTGATAGTGAGTGGCTACCGTCGCCCATGGACTTCAGCAATGCCAGGGGCAGAGTCAAGCCGCTGCCTACCGCTTAATACTCTCCACAAGCCTCGTTTGAAGAAGGACATGTCATAGCGCTCGGGAAACACCGTGGAGGGGAGCTCATTCCATAGCCGGATGGTACGTGGTAAAAAAGATCTCTGGAAACGCGCTGTCGATGACCGCAGTGGCTCCAGGTAGTATGGATGAACTCTACTCCGGTGGCGGGCGCTGCGATGGTAAAAACGAGAGAAGATTAAGATGAAGTCGTCGTAGTGTAGAACAGTGGTGCTCAAACTCGCGACCTCTGTGGGGGCCACTAGGTGATTGTGGGGGTCGCCATTTTTTTTAACTAAGCAGCTTGTAATTCCCTGTCCCTATCTTAGAGGTCGCCAAAAATGTCTCTCTACTGAAGGGGACGTAGTAAAAAAAAAAGTTTGCGCACCACTGATTTTTCTAACTAAACGTTATCGTATGTGCGTGTAATAAAATGGTATTCGCAGAAAAAAAAAACGTTTGTCAAATTATGCGATATCGAAGTCGTCGTGGCCTTAAGGAAAAGACATCTGGTGCATACGTGTTGAGCGATGCACTGATGTTCCAATCTCAGGCGGGTACCATTTTTTCTAATGAAATACGTACTCAACAAATGTTCACGATTGACATCCACGGTGAAGGAATAACATTGTGCAATAAAAATCAAACCCGCAAAATTATAATTTGCGTAATTACTGGTGGTAGGACCTCTTGTGAGTCCGCACGGGTAGGTACCACCACTTCGCCTATTTCTGCCGTGAAGCAGTAATGCGTTTCGGTTTGAAGGGTGGGGCAGCCGTTGTAACTATACTTGAGACATTAGAACTTATATCTCAAGATGGGTGGCGCATTTACTTTGTAATGTCTATGGGCTCCAGTAACCACTGAACATGAGGTGGGCTGTGAGCTCGTACAACCATCTAAGAAACAAAATTTGTGAGATGTTCCCTTTTCGTAATATCACATTCAATTACATTAATATTATTTTTTTACTCAATCTGTCGCCTATATTAATTGGTTTCAGACAACGTGAACGAATACTTGAAGCTGGCGGCGAACGCGGACAAGCAGCAGCTCCAGCGGATCAAGGCGGTGTTCGAGAAGAAAAACCAGAAGAGCGCCCTCTGCATCGCGCAACTGCAGAAGAAACTCGAGGGCTACAACAAGAGGATCAAGAACTGGGAGGTCAGTCACGAGATCAAACATTAGATCGGAGTGTCAAATACAATTATTAAAAAAAAAAACTTCAGAGGTGTCAAGGGACACCCGGATGGAACGAAGTTCGTTTCGATTAATTAGTGAAGGAATTGTAATTTTTTTTTTAAGTTATAATAATAAATTACGGCATTATGAAGAAGAAAAAAACAATACTATGAACTAAATTACTATTGTTGAAACGCTATCTCGAGAAACTGTACTCATTACGCGGACCAATCGGATACGAGCAATGTCACGCGATAAGCGCCTACACGTTGATTGGTCAGAATGACGGATCTAAAAAGTGTCGTGACAACTTTTCGTAAGAATTTTTTCCGTCTAGCCCCCTTTCACAATGCGAGATAAGGAACTTCGTTCCAATAACATATTAGGGTTGTACCTACCCTTTAAATCGGATCGTGGGACTGATTCACAACCAGACTACCCAGACTTATTCCTGCTACAAGACATTCCATAATATTAATTTCGTTATACTTGACCATCTAACATTTGTCTGTGAGAAGTCGCTTTAAACGATAACATCTATACTATCTATACTAATATTATAAAGAGGAAATATTTGTTTGTTTGTATTGAATAGGCTCCGAAACTACTGAACCGATTTGAAAAATTATGTCACTGTTTGGAAGCTACACTATTCCCGAGTGACATAGGCTATAATCTTTTTAGAAAAAAAAATAGGTATCCTTACTAAAACTCTAACAATGTAACACAAAGTGTAAAAAAATTACCTAACATATTCTTTACACCGCGTGCCCTGCGAAAACTATTGATGATAGAATAAAGTAATGTACTACGACTTTGTAGAACACATTATAAAAAGTGTCGCGACAGCATATGTCTAACTATTATAGTTATGCCGAAATAAGTGTTATTTTATTTAAAAAAATAAAACTACTCAAATATTGTTGACATTTTTATTAAAGACCCGAGCGGAGCGGGCCGCTAGTATTATTACATTCTTGTAAAATAATTATTTACTAAAAAAAAAAATATTAGAACACATCCCTGTTAAATCTTACGGACTTTACTACTTATAAGGTTACTGTTTATTTATACCTCTTTTTATTAGCCCGCTGATTCTTTTAAAGAATGTGGTTCTTTTTGCATCCAGTAATAGAGCTTATTTTCGTTTTAAGTAAGAAGGTACAATGGCATCTCAATTAAAATAAATTATTATAATTTGAATTATTTTTTTATAGCAACATGGCTCCAGCGGACAAGCTCACAGACAACCTCGAGAAGTTCTGCGAGACATGGGACAAGGTTTAAAGTATGTTAACTTTGTAAAATTACTGATGTATATGTTCTAAAGTCTTAATTAATCTAATTCAAACATAATAAAGCTAAATGGGTTCCGTAGTATAAATAAAATGGTGTCTAACACCATTTTTTTAATTTATTGCTTCGATGGATGCTCATTACCCACCTGGTGTTAAGTGGATACCGGAGCCCATAGATTAATACAACGTAAATGCCGCCACCTACTATGTGACACGAGTACTGATTCATTTTTTTTTATAGTACATAGGCTGTACCAACCTTTAAATCGAAACGCATTACTGTTTCACGGCAGAAACAGACAGGGAGGTGGTACCTACCCGTACGGGCTTATAAAACACCCGGTAGCCTGTTAAAGTTAAAACAAAACAAATAGGAGAACTCTAATGACGTTTGCTTTCTTGTTTCCATAGAAACGTGGGAGGGAACATCCGCGACGGCATCACTGGTCTCGGCGGCAGCGTCATGGCCGCCCCGCGAGAGTTCGCTCATCTCTTCTCGAGGTCCAACCGGTTCGGGTCCGCTGACAACATCGCTCAATTAGCCGGTCTGTATACGCTATCTTATCACCTCAGTTTATGGAGGTTAGGGGCAACGAGCACACTGTACTGTAGATTGGGGGGAATAGAGACTATAGTTAGAATAGGGACAAATCTGGGATATCACAATACTTTATTTAGTGTTTAAAAATATTAAATTGTTTAATTTACTCATCAAAGTTTTGTAACTAATTAAAGATGTTAAAAAGTTAATTACCTAAAGTTAGGTACCCACCTAAAAACTAAATAGTGCCAGCCCTATCGAAAAACTGTATTGTCCCCATACGTAACTAGATTCACGCCAAAGCCAAGGTGAATCGGGTCAAGCTAGTTTTTTCAGTTTTTGTGTATATTTTGTAATGAACTATGTATAATAACGCATCGTATATAAAAATTGAAACCGCCGGAACCATTTTAATCTCAATTTTATTGGTATATTGGTTAAGAAAAGCCATTGAAAATTAGTGTTGTATTTGGAAAGGGTCCCGATTCCCCCCAATCTACGGTATATGAAAAAGTGTCCTACAAAAGCGGTTAGGGTGGCGCCACCGTAGCAAGTGCTGTGTTTACATAATGCTACCTCAAAAATTATTATTTTATAATTTTCAACTTATGACACTTTATTTATAACGGCCACATTCATATTCGCTTGTTACGCTGTTGTTTTTTAATGGGTTTTTGTGAGTTATAATTTGCTGCTCATAGTTGGACACTTTTTCAATTCGTTCTCCCCATATACGACAGTTTTCCTTTCTTCTAACCTCCATACATTATTTTATAATCGAAGGCGGACAGGCGTATGGTTCATTTTCTCGTAACTGTTACGGTATTATTCGAAAACAACTGCAGCACTTTTGATATAAAGTCGCGCTACGATATATCGGCACCGAAATAGGTCAGTAATTCGACAACAAGGTATCGTGGCGGTCACTATTCTAAGCCAACAGGGATGGGTCAGTCATTTGATCACTCCATGCACTAGCGCTCCGATATCGATGTATTGATCATTTAGTGATTAATGAGTTTTTAAAGTTATACTTATAATGAGTTAAAAAACACGCTTCTTAGAGTAATTGGTAACCCTAACACTTATCTGGCAATGTCGCCAGTGTATCGTATAAAGGGTTGTCCGTTTATATTATCGATAAAATCTTTTTACGATATAACGAAGCAATCTTAGTACACTATTTCTAAATATAAATTAAACAGACATGGGATTTTCGTTTGAAAAGATAATCGTAGGAACCCTCACATCTAAGGGTCGCTTAAAAGAAATAAATTAAATATTGAACTCTAAAATTATAGATAGATAATCGTGATCAATGCTAAAAATGCTATTATGATATACTTTTATTTATATATCCAATAGTAACGCCACGCTTCATGGCGCGAAAAGTTTTCGTTTGCTATTGGTTGATGCGTGCGCGCCATGTTCGGTACCCGCCGCACCTGAGCGAGATAGCAGCTGTCTCTGTTTCTGTTGACATAAAATCTTAACGTAACCCAATAAAGACTATATTTCAACGGAATTAGCACATGTTTTTGATCGCCTTTAGCTTCCTCTTTTCTCTGCAGTCGTACTTTGCCGACGCTACTCATAAATGTGATAAGACCTGTTACTCTTTTTGTATACATATTATATTATAAACTCTATTGTCTACGCTTTAATATGCTTTTTGCTTTAAATGTTACGTATACAAAAAAAAAAACAAGTTCATGTATCCATATTATGTGTCTTATTTTAATAGATATTTATTTTGTCTCACAGAGAACACGGGTGCTTGTGAGTATATAAGGAAATTGGTAGTGTTTCATGTATCCTGTAAATAATTTACACTCACATTCATTTCATTATAGTGAGTTATTTTTTTTTTTAACTTTATCTAAACTGTGTGTATATTAATACCATCACAATAGATTTGTTTGTAGCGTACGGTCTTAGGTTTTATTACTTATACCGTCATGTAGTCAAACATAAAAGTAGAGACTTAATTTAAAAACAAATTAACTTCAATATTAGTATTTAATAATGCATGAATAGTCATTTAGCCCAGAATTAGTATTCTGAACCTGTAAACAAAGGTTTACATATATACCTACTTTTAAACGTATAAATATAAATGTTGATATTAAGATATTAAAAATGTGCGTCACACGAATGTTTGTTGATGTGGGAATCGAACCCACGACCCTCTGCCCAGCAGTCAGGGGCTCCCACCACTACACCACTGGAGCAGCTATTTCACAGAAGTGAAATTTTATTGCCTTTTTTAGGCCCACGAGCCTCTCCATCTGATGGTGAATGGTTACCATCGCTAATGGACGTCAACAATGCCAGGGGCACAGCTACGTCGCTGCGTACCGCATTCTACCTATATTATGAAATCATTGCAGCAAAAGCGTACATACATTAACGTAAGGAAAAAAAAACAACATAATGCCGCGGGATTATTGATGACCAGTCGTGCGTGAATAAAACACGGTATACATTTACGCGTTCAACGACTCGTGTCGTTAAATATCAATTTGTATCTGTTGGAGAACTATTTATTATACATAACTGATTTGCAATAGTCATAAATACTATTGACGTGACAACGTCTTATAATTCGACGGAGCCGGCTGCACGCACGAAAAAACATGGCTCATTGAGGCGTTCCATTTAAGGCTTGAAGTGCAAGCGAGAGCGCACAACGAGCGACAAAGAAGCATAATCGGCCTCCGCATTCGGCAACGTTCGACATCTGTCTCTCTCCTACTTGAATGGGCGATGCATCCGCGTGGACAGCTGCTATACAATAATACATTTACATGTTTTCGTCAAGTATGAAGTTCAGTGAAAAGTGAATGTGGTGTCAATTGTCCATACACAATATTTATCAAACAAACAAATAAAATTAAAATTTTATTTTGTAAAATGAAACCATTTCATGAAAATTTTCTTATGACGTTGCCACGTTCAACTATCGTCAGAAAACCGACTTTACAGCCAACCGATTTTTTATAACAAATTACATGCAATATCAGTGCACGAATATAAACAATGTTAATTCTAATTTCGATAAAGAAATTTTTTTTTTTTATTATTTTGTTCCAGTATTTTTTGCAATGAGCGTAAAACGTACTTAATGGAACTTATATTCTGGAACACGCCGGGACAACCCCGTATCTCGCGCTACACGGACAACCACAAACCAATAAGGCACCTGACAGTTGACTCCAGTTTCATTGCAGTTTAAAAAAAACCAAATTAGTAATTAATGTTGAATTTAGTCAATTATGTAATAGTGTTTTCTTTCATGTTAATAAGGTGGTTGTCGTTTCGGTTTAATTACGATTCTTTAACACCCTCTACTAAATTTAATAGAAGATCACGTTGAACAAAAATATTCTATTTAAGTTTGCTTTACATTAAAATAAATAATTTTATATTTATTCGCGATTAGTTCGCGAACACGAACTCGGCGAATAAAGAACGAAAAACGCGTTAAACAAATCGTCGCCTTACGTGTACACATCGACCTATGCAGTAATCTGTGAGTAATCCGCGAGACAAGTTGTTCTCTCTGTGCTAAACGAGAATAGTGTACACAGTCATGATGACGTAAAGGTGATAATAGTGATAATGTTGTTTCGAAAATGCAAAAGGTGCCGAAAGAAATGTAAATATGTTCATAATAACTCAGCATCAAGGATCGGGATTCGATGTTAGATATTGTTGTTTAGTTCAACAGTATTGTTGACTGCGGTCTGTATTGTCCTGTTAATACTATGTCCTTCTTACATCCTTATCTATGTCGTTATCGCGCCGTTATCACCGAGGTCCCTTCTGTTGGTGTCAACAAATGATGTAATATTCATATACATCAAATTCAATGAAATTTAAATCTGGCGATGCTCGATAATGTAGGGTCGCTCTCATTGACAGCACGTAGTACGATCTCACATAGCAAAGTAAACGAAAATCATAACTTAATTAAAATTATTCTTATGGTTTCTTTCTTTTCTTTCTTTCTCTCTTTCTTTTCTTTCTTTCTTTCTTTTCAGTTACATTGTATACGACGTTTTGAAAACTTCACAATTTTCATTAATCATAACATTAACCTAACATAATCATAACAAATGGGTTTCTCGAACAATATTTTTTTTCCTAAATATATCTCTAATGAAATTTAATTTACATGTTACATCTAAATTTATCAAATCGCCTCATATCGCATGACCATATCCATTGGTTAATTGTAATTGGCGCCGTATCCGTTCCTATGCCGGAGACAATTGTTTCAGTGTCTAACAAGACAATAGGATATGTATTCTTCTTCTTGTCCATATATTTTCAACAAAGAAGAACACACAATTGGCTCCTCTGACCTTGATAAGTGCTTAGTATCGAGAATATTTAGTAACATTTATAAATACGAAGAGATAAGAATATTACAGATCTTAACGATTAAAATTGGATTTAAAACAAATGTATTAAGCAATGTTTATTAACAGAATATTATAAATATAGGTACTAAAATTTGTATTATTCGGTAAATAGAAGTTAAGTCCAAGAATCGATTATATGTAAATTTATTTTTTATTTATTTTATTTATACTTATTATACACAAAAAAGAAAATACAATAAAAACAGATTTAAAAGAATGTCTAAATACTATGTACAAAAACTAGCTTAACTCATTCATGAGTTTTCTTCCAGCAAACCATTAGCAGAGAGAAATACGATACGAATTTAATGTGACTAGAGGTCCCGCAGTAGTCGAAATTCGACTATAATTTATTGGAATTATAAGTTTGTATACTATTATGATTGTATTTTCAACGCAAAGACTACACTATAGAAAAATACTAATAAAGACAAACAATATTTAATCAATACTCAATTTGACCACAGACGTCAAGAACAAAAGTTTGACAATAAATAAATAGTATGCATGCGTGTGTGTGTCAAATACACAGTAGTGTGTGTAATGTTTTCTTTATTGATTTAATGTATCTTTTATGCATTATTTAAAAAAAATATTTGCATTGTGCACTTCTCTATATTCTCTATAAGTGTGGAAAATGTCATACTCCTCCGTCCGCGCAATTTTCGTAAAAAGGGATACAAAGTTTCTGCTTCACATATTGATATATAGATTATCTGACAAATATAGTCAAAAACAGCAACCGATTTATACGAAACCACACAATAAGCTACCAACACTGGTCGCATATTGCTTTATTAAGGATCTTTAGAACGAAATAAAAAATTGGTTGATATTCGAAATTTAAATTTCCCTCCACAATTTTATGAGTAAAACTAAAATGTGTTAATGTTTCTAACCTGAAAATAGATCTGCATTTTCGCGCGAAATTTTTGTACGGCTTAAATGCGCCAATACCAGAATAGTTACTTTGGTATAATCGCATTAATGGCGTTCGAAGACAAAAGCCTGCCTCAGGTGATCTTTTAACGATCACTTATTAAATCTAAGATAAGAAAGTGACATCCTTTGACGGGTGTTAGAGCAAAAAAACTGCAAACAATATTTATATATTCTTCTTGGCTATGTCTCTAGTATTGCTGATGTCCATGAGCAACGGTGACTAACCATCAGCTGTATAATATTCTGCCTAGAATATCAATAAAACAAACCGTACTATATACAATCATTGCTCGAGCCAAAATACACGAGTTGTTCTATCCACATCGGCCGTGACTTTTTCAAGGTGAAACATAACATAACAAATTGTAAAGTTTATATTTTCATATTTATCACAACGACCTGCCTATTAATGCAATATATCCTCCCGATCCATTAACGGTGCTTTCAGGTACCACAAGCACCGGTCACCGTCCTCGTCGAACCCGTCGCTTCTGACGAAGGGGTCGACGAGCGAATTAACCCCATAGACATAGCCCACTGAGTTTCTCGCCGGATCTTCTCAGTGGGTCGCGTTTCCGATCCGATGGTAGATTCTGCGAAGCACTGCTCTTGCTAGGGTTCGTGTTAACAACACTCCGGCTTGAGCCCTGTAAGCTCACCTACACGTTAGGGCGAAGGTAATATAGCCTCTCAAGGCTATGAGCATAGGTAGGAAAAAAACCGACGTTTTGATAAATATACAGTTTTCGTAGTCACGGAAGAAGAGAGTAGGGTTAGGTTCGTTGATATTTAACATTTGACATTGTGCTGACGTACATAAGTGTATAACGTCTATGACGTTTTATGACTAAAAGTTGAGATCATACTTCCATTATTAGTCTCATCGTTCATACGTTGCACGTGTATTAATTTGTAATTAGCATTATTCGAGCACTGTCTTAACGCATCAAAAATAATTCGCTAATTTGAGGTACCTACATATTACAAGATTGTTATTAACAAATACAATAAGAATTTTTACCAAAGTTCAATTCTCATCGCTTGTGTGCCGATCCCAAGGAGGATAGAAGCAAGGGACGACATTTGAAATTGGTCGTAAAATGAAATCAAATGGAAATATATAATGGCAAGAGAAAAAGGTATTCAGATATTGGTGTTGACAGCTTCTAAACATTGTGCTACTGTGGGATAATCTGTTTGAAGGATCTTATTAGGGATTTTTTTGAATGTCACCGTGATAGATTTCGTTCTTCTATTTATGACTATTGAGAATAACTTTAAATGTATTTGACTGAAATTCAATCACATTTTTGTATTTAAGAGATTGTAATTAGACCCTATAAAATAACCTTAAAGGTAAATAAATACGTAGGGACCAGCGGAAGAATTCTTTACTAATTACATCAAACGGACTCAACAGACTTAAACGGATTATTTATTTTGTCTTTTGTACAACAAAAGATAAAATAAATAATATAATCAAAGTGTACAAAAAATATTACATTTATCTAGCACCTAGTGTCTCAATAGGATTAGTTTGTTAGCTTTAACCTATTACTCATTAGGCTCATTCCCTTGTAGCTCCAAAATATGCAAAAGCTTTCTTAGCGATTATCATTTCGTAGTTTCTAGCTAAACATATCTATTATAGTAGGATTTGCTAAAACAAATCTTTATCCACATTTTCAATCATAGAATATAGTTATATATTTTTATTAACCCAAAAAAAAAGAAGCGCATTTGTGTGTAATTGTGTCGCTTATCATGCTGTCTCGTTTTTACACGCCAGCCCCACCACATGCGGAACTAAGAGGTAAATAAACACTTTACACTGTAACGGTTTACTTTTTTGAGTTTTTGTCTTTACTAGTGTTCGTATCACGAAATTCGACTATAATCACTGACATTTCAAGATTTCATATATCACATTTTTCCCTTTTGTTTGTAATTGACATTCTGAAAAAAAAAACTGACAAAAAGCAAAAAAAAAAAAAACAAAAAAAAAGGAAATTAATTGACAAACAGAGGAAAAAATAGTGCTTAATTATTATTAATGGGACATTATTGGTACTGTTTTGTCTATTCACATATAAATATGGTTGTTGGTTTAACGGCTTCCACAGATATACAACGCGCACGCTTCCTATAATAGCTTTGTTTTATTAAATTTTAGAGTGAAAATTAAAAGGTAATAAATTCGTAAAGCAATAAAAAAAAGCATTAATTTTTTTCACTCACATAGAAATACATTTATCACATAACACTTAAATTTTAAAATATATTGGCAATTATCACGGGTCTGGGACTGGAGGATATAGTGTCTTTCTATTAAAATGTTTACGTTAATTATATTTACAAAATTTGGTTAATACATTGAATGAATAATTAAAACAATGTTAAAATATATTGTTATAGTTTAGATTAATGTCATGTAATTTTGTTAATTTGTCTTCATTATATAACTTTTCGTTACATCATATTATAAGTACACGAGAATAGATGGCAGCACGTGTAAAAAATGATTTTGTAACAAGCTTTTTGTACAAATCTTTTTTATCTAATAAATATAAATTTATAATAAAGCACGTGCTTGACACAGGGGAGGCATTTATTAACCTCCTTATGATCTTCGCACTCAAAGAGTAAAACCCAATCACGTCTTGGTGCTGGTACGCCCGCGCCCGATTTATTTGTCTTTCGCTTAAGTTTTACAATGCGACAATTTTATGGTTATAACGTAATATGACACTAACATTTTTCTAAACATGATTGACTAACTGCATAGTTTCAAAATTAGACTATATATCTCGTGGCTCTGTTGCCTTGTCATTGTTACTATGAGTCATCCCGCCACCCAACTTAAGACATGAGGTCGAAATTTGGGTTGCATTGGCATATAACAACTATTAGCCTATTCGTTAGAGAAATAGGCAAGACGATGGTACTGATTAGCCCTGGCTGACGACTTGCTTTATTAGTGTCTGTACCATATTGGCATATAACAACTATTAGCCTATTCGTTAGAGAAATAGGTAAGACGATGGTACCGTTTAGCTCTGGCTGGCGACTTGCTTTATTAGTGTCTGTACTACATTGGCATATAACAACTGATAGCCTATTTGTTAGAGAAATAGGCAAGAAGAAACTACCGATTAGTTCGTCGTTAGTTAGTCGACAGTCGTTATTGTGTATTGAGTGCCTCTACAACTTGACAGCGAACGCGTCGTCTGAAGGTTCGAGGGCTTCGGAAGTAGGCGAGGCGGCTGCCCCCCGAGGGTCGACGTTGCCGCGAGCCGCTACGTCACCGGCGCCCAAGTACTCGCCCGACGCCTCGCCCAGCTCATCCGTCACCAGCGAGGGAGCGCCGTAAGTGAATGATAACTTCTCGACATTAGGGACATGATGATTTCCATTTCAAATCAACATTTCAGACTGTGGTTTTTGTTAATCTATATATGTATATACTAATATACAAATCTACAGTGGTTTTTACGGATGTTCCGTTATAACTACTGAACCGTGCATCCGATTGACTTGAAACTTGGTATCCCTGTAGAAAATACATGTAAACTCTCGAACTTTCTCTTATTGTTTGCATTTTTTAAACGCTGCTCCTTGCATCTCCGATCCAGTCGCGTTTCCATTAAACTATCGATTCCTGAGAATCGAAACTCTGGAAGTGGTAAGTCTTTGCCTGCCGGCCGTTGGTCCACAAGACGACAGACCGGCTGTCGGCAGGCCATCTAGAGACTGGCTAGATCCTGCCCCTTGACTCATTGGGTAAGAATCAGTATAGGTTACAGCTCTGTTTTCAATCATTGGGTTGGTTGGTAATATAATGACAACGCGCACAGATAGGACTCGTTGTTTATCTAAAACAAATGGTAAATGTATTATTGTTACTGTGCTTGAGATATATCTCGTACTAGCTGACCCGGCAGACTTCGTAGTGCCTCAATCGATAAATATAAGACATAAACTTTTGTATAAAATAAACTTAAAACAAACAAATGGAATCCGTCTGACGGGAGACACAGCAAAGGAAAAACAAAATTGTTATTTTTATTTAATTCCGAGCATTTTCATATTTATCTACCTTTTAAACCTTCTCTGGACTTCCACAAATAATTCAAGACCAAAATTAGCCAAATCGGTCCAGCCGTTCTCGAGTTTTAGCGAGACTCACGAACAGCAATTCATTTTTATATATATATATATAGATTATTGTAACTATACTTGAGACCTTCGAACTTATATCTCAAGGTGGGTGGCGCATTTACGTTGTAGATGCTATGGGCTCCAGTAAGCACTTAACACCAGGTGGGCTGTGAGCTCGTCCACCCATCTAAGCAATAAAAAAAATATATATCTATATATTACATGCATTAATGTGATCTATGTAACAGGTACCCGACGCAGACGGGTGCGAACAATATGACCGACTCTGCGTTCACACTCAAACCGATCCTGAACGAACTACGCGAGCGGAGGGAGGATTATGAGCGGTTAGCTGAAAAACTAGAGGCGCTGAAGGTGGTACATAAATGTTTTATTATAAATACAGGGTGTTTGATTCTAATATTTTATTTATGTGTTATCGGCATTTTTAACTCTTTCTCTATTAGCTTATAAATGTGTTATATGTATCTATGTATCTATATAACGGAATCTTCAATGTAATTAATGAATCCTTATAATAGTATTTTTACTAACTTTAGTTAACTTGAAAATATGCGCACTGTATCAAGTACCGATGACAAAACAATAATTTTATTGCTTCAGTCAAATGTCCTATATGGGATTTACAGGTTGAATTTTTCATTTTAAGTTCGGCTTGCAATTAAAATGTAATTTTTTTTAGCTTTATTTTTAGGTTTTTAGTTGTTTTTTTAAATAATTGTACAAAAAAAACGATTTTTTTTTCTTGTTTAGTTTTTGGTTTGTTTTTGTTTGGCTCAAAGTCATATGTCCAATGTGATTGTAATATTCTAGAGCCTGTCCCAAGAAGTATCGTTCCTGTCGGCCGCGTTGCAAGAGGAACGATTCAAAACCGAACGCTTGGAGGAGCAAATCAATGATCTCACTGAACTACACCAGAATGAGGTGAGGATGACATATTATGATCCATAAAATGGCCTCAAATACGCCTATTAGGAAATTGTAGATATTCAATACATCGTTAATATAAAGTGTAAAAATATTATTTTTCTAATCTATATATTGAATACGTGAAGCCAAAACTTTGTACCCCTCTTTACGAAAATTGCGAGGAGTATGAAATTTCCCACACTTATAGAGAATATAGAGAAGAGTGCAGAATGTTATTTTTTTTTAAGTTGAGCATAAAAAATACATAAATTCAATAAAAAAAATACATTACCATGTATTTGACACACACACACGCGTGCATACTATTTGTGTATCGTCAAACCTTTCTTATTGTAACATAGAATATAGTCTGTGGTCAAATTGAGAATAGATTAAATATTGTTTGTCTATATTAATATTTCTCTATAGTGTAGTCTTCACGAAATCTGTGATTATAGAAGTAAAGTCTTTGACAATAGAACCATATTATTGTTCAAACTTATAATTTCAATTAATTATAGTCGAATTTCGACTACCGGAGAACCACTAGTATCAATAGAAGCACCACTAGTCGTTGCAAGATTTAGTCCTGAGATATCTTATCAATATTCTGGCAATGTCTCGAAGGTGTTTAACTAAATAGCATTAAATTTGTGTTCCATTCAGGTGGAGAACTTGAAACAGGCCCTCACAGACGTGGAGGAGAAAGTACAGTACCAGAGCGAAGAACGAATACGAGATATACACGAGGCGCTGGACCTCTGTCAGACTAAGGTATGTCGGCAACGTCGACACGTCCGTTTACTGCAGATAATTGCCCTAAAATCTGCAATTTTAACACCGTTATGATATCCGAATACGGTGTAATAACAATAGTTTAAAAATTCAAAAGTATCACGCCTGAATAGCACACAGTACTAAAGATAAACATGATCATTTCTTTACGCCGTTGATTCTGATCATGGGTCAAATTAATAAAATTATTGTCTTGTCATCGGTACTTTTAATGTCTGGACAAATTTTCAATTTAATCTAAATAAAGTAAATTTTTAATAAAAAAAAAGGATTGGGTAGTTTTATGAAACCACGGCACTGGCACAAATTAGTAAGAGTCTATACACTACACGGTCAGCTGCTGCGAACTATAGGCGCCGCCATATTGGCCTTGGCTGCTTTGACGAGCGCCTTACACTTTATCCCTACTCCGTGGCCGCCCGTCACGCGACATGCAACACACAGACGACGAAAATTTTTCACTAATAATAATAATATAATATTTAGTTTCGTCTAGTACAAAGCGTGGTCGTCTCGATGTGACTTGGAGGCGGTACTTCCATGACTTTTCGCCCGTTCGAGTTTTGTTGCGGCGGTATCTGACGCGGCCCGGTCGTGTAGTCTCACGGTTTGGACACAGATCAGCAAGCTGGAGCAGTGGGCGGCGAGCGGGGGCGGCGGCACGGGCGGCGGCGGGGCGGGCGGCGAGGCGGGGGGCGCGGGCAGCCTGCCGCCGCGCGTCGTGCTCGTCAAGCTGCTCAACGTCGCGCTCACCCTGCTGCAGCTCGCCTTGCTGCTCGTCGCCACTGTGGCAGGAGTCGCCATGCCCTTCTTGCGGACCAGGTATCAGTTATTCCTCAAAGAAATCATTGTTACACTAGGGAATATTTTTTATGGCTTAGATGGGTGGACGAGTCCACCTGGTGTTAAGTGGTTAATGAAACACATCCACAACGTAAATGCGCCATCCACCTCGAGATATAAGTTCTAAGGTCTCTAGTATGGTTACAACGGCTGCCCCACGCTTCAAACCGAAACGTATTACTGCTTCACGGCAGAAATAGGCAGGGTGGTGGTACCCACCCGCGCATACTCACAAGAGGTGCTACCACCAGTAATAACCACCAGGACTAGAGGTAGAATAGGGACAAATCTGAGATATCGCAATACTTTTGTCGGGATGTTAGAGATTTGACTTTGTTGAACTGAAAATGACTTTTATTTAGTGTTTAAGAATATTAAATAGTTTAATTTAGTCGTCAAAGTTTTGTAACTCATTAAAGATGTTAAAAAGTTAATTACCTAAAGTTAGATACGTACCTAACAACTAAATAGTGCCAGCCCTATCGAAAAACTATTGTCCCCATACGTATGAATAGGGACAAGTGAGTTTTTGTAAATTTTTATGATTATTCTTTAATAAACTACATCTTAATGCCATATAAATGAAATTTTAAATTATCGGAACCATTATGATATTCGTTTTATTACTATAACTACAAAAAAAAAACGATAAAAATCAATGTCAAATTTAAAAAGTGTCCTGATTCGTTCGACGTTACGAACGATCGTAAAATTTTTAGTCAAAATAAAAATAATAATTAGACAAGGGAATAATGTGGAAATTATGCCAAGATAAAAATCAACAGTGGTCATGCATCTCTAAAGACACCGACAATGACTTGGTCTTGTTAGTGGAAACACAAATTATTGCATTAGGCGGTCTTGTACTGGAAATTGCCTATATCACAACAGTATGTTATTTTTTATCAAACACGGAATCATCAAAATTCCTTTAAATTACTTTTTATGCCAAATTAATCGATAAATAGTTGTCGATATATATTAAAATTATCGATAAATAGTTGTCGATATATTAAAATTATCGATAAATAGTTTTCGATATATGTATATTGAAATTATCGATAAATAGTTATCGATATATATTAAAATTATCGATAAATAGTTTTCGATATATATTGAAATTACTGATAAATAGTTGTCGATATATATTAAAATTATCGATAGACTTAGAGGACTAATTATTATGTTCGCAGAGTACGTGTGCTAACGACGTGTCTTGCGGTACTAGTCGGTATAGTAGTGCTGAAGCAATGGCCCGAAGTGTCTCAAGTGTCTGAACATTTGGCGAAAAGACTCAAACATTACTTGTTGGACGCTCCCGCGGACAGGTAATGTCATACTTCGGCCTCTGTACTCCCTCCACTTTCTGTAGATGTCGATTGATCCTTTAACGTTTCTGGATGTGAAATTTCTTAAATTTTCATTGGTATTCAATGCATTCTTTGATAGTTATTTCATTTAACTTCAGTGTGGCTCTAAATGATGCACAACTTTCGCACGTGTTGAAGTTTGAAAGGTACTTATATCATCGATATTTAACACGTGTCTCTATTGACTGTTAACAACTCTTTTTTATTTCTTTGTTATTCTGTAATGATATTTTAAGTCAGTATTCGCTTCTTTTTCTAATCTTACGTTGATGTCAAAATTATGAAAAAAAGTATTTATTTTCGATTTTTCACATCCAGGTTAAACGGTGTGCGTCCGTGTTCTTCAAATATAACAATTAACTGTTGGAATCTAACTAATAATAATGCTTAGGTAAATAAATATCTCAAGGTTATGATTTTGATGAGCATTTACTAAAAAACATTAGGTTTTTATAAAATTTAATATTTTATGTTTTTCAACTAACATTCAAATATATTGTCGTAATAAAAATATGTACAAAAATAAAAAATATTATTATTAATATTACAATGTACTTAAATGGAAATTATGCAAATACCTACATTTACTGTTTGATAATGATTAGAAGTACAATTTTATCTGTAAAGGTATTAATTAATCTGTCAATTGTGAAAAAGGTTTGCAAACATTTGCTAACTATGAAAACGAACTTTTTTCATAAAACGTATTTGCCGTTCCATTAAAGTATTTTTTTATATAATTCATGAATAATGAAACATGATATTTAAACTAACAAAAAAATATATTTCTATTCGGAAATATAATTTTGGTTTTTCTATTCCAATCAAATGTTGATATAGAAGGATTTTCTCTCTCTCTCTCTCTCTCTTTCGGTAGCTCTTTAGAGTATTAAATAGTATCAAGTCGTTTAAAAGTATGTATTTCCGAATATCAATATTGTTTTGAGAACTAAAAATAACTAACATTTATTGGGACTATTTTCAATACTAACGTCTGAAATTAGTTTTAACGTAAAAAATAACGTTACATGAAATAAATTTGGTGTATTGTAATGTATTTATTTGTATATTATATTGGAATATAGGCTATAAATTGTGTAGAGAGTTTAGCACTATTTTATTATGTGTTATTTGTGCTTTAGATGGATAATAGTGGGGAAATAATTAGATATTAAAATGTATATCCGTTTGGATTATAACTTTCAATTTCAATATAACTTGGAAATGATTCATACAAGCATCAAAACGTAACACTGATTTTTATTACATTTAAAAGAAACTTTATTAACATTAATTGTTGGTATGTTTTAGCTTTTTAGTGAAAGTAAAAAAATGTAGTATTTTATAATAATACTTGTGGTATTTGCAAAAAAAATTGTTTGAGTTTACAAGAATATTAGATAAATCAGCGTGTCCATATACCCGATTGAAAGTTTTAATCTAAACACAAGTTTATAATTAAATAGGGATATGAATCCGGTATGTTTTTACATTCTTATAAAATTACTGTCAAATGTTTAATTCAAACATATATTATTAAACAACATCAATAACAACTATATTAAAATATATAATCACTAAATTTTTATTATATTTATTTAATTAAAAAAAAAAAAACAATAACACGCCTCTTGTGAATGAAAAAAATTAACTATAAACATAATGTATGTATGTAGTATGTTTGTGTATAGCCTTTGTTAATTTTTGTTTTTGTTCCACTGCAGGTATGAATGCAAGTCGTTGTGTGGTTGATAGCCTTAGTTAAAACTTAGTGATGTGTGAAAACGTTTCCGAGACAAATTATGAGGAACACGCATTCAAACTACTCTTTTACGGCAAAATTTGTTTCGATTATATCGAATTAAATTTCCAAGGAATTATAATCGATTTCTTAACATCAGAATGTATCGTCATATTTTCAGTCTTTCTTATCGTATGTGATTATTTCTGTGTATCGTACAATTATTTCAGTTTGAATCTTTTTATGTTATCAAAGTAAAAATATTATAGCAAATTACTGACAGGTACACGAATAATAAATCAAAATCTAGATTCAAAGGAGTTAGTATGAGTTCTTTCGTAAGTTTCAACAAGGTCATTATTCCCGCCATCTCTGTGATTTGATGGTGGACTGATGAGGAAAACCGTGCGACTGAAAGAGTCTGTACCAACGCCCTATGTGTTTAAATATGCTGTGGTGTAATTTGCGAGAGGCTTCACTACATAGTATAAAACAAAGTCGCTTTCTCTGTCCCTGTATCCCTTTGTATGCTTAAATCTTTAAAACTACGCAACGGATTTTGATGTGGTTTTTTTAATAGATAGAGTGATTGAAGAGGAAGGTTTATATGTATAATAACATCCATTAAATAGTGGAGAAATCAATAATAAATTACAGTTTCCGAAGCGAAGCGAGGGCGGGTCGCTTGTATTTATTTAAATTAGACATCTGTCTGTGGACTAATGATGTGCATCTACATTTTCAAAGTTTTTATAAAAATAGAAGCTTTATTCGCAATAGAAACAAATTTTGAAGGCCAAACTAATAGAGTGCTAAATATGCGTGTCAGTTGCATGTGAACATTAATGGTCGATTTGTCTCGAACGTAATGCGTTGTTTTACGCGTGATTTGATAAATGTAAGCGTAATGTGGTATATTTCGCAGTGATATTAATATGTTTTAAGTCCTTTGTAAGTGATGATGTGATGGAATATTCAGAACGTCTACAAAAACTTTTCTTTCCAGCAAGCTAAAGCTAAAAGCGACATTAGGCTAAAACTAAATTAGATGCACTACAAATTGGAAGTAAAAACTTTTTTGTTTTGGTAAACATATTTTATTTTAAAATTATTTTTGCACTACATACTTTAACTAAAAATAAAATTTTGTTTTGAATATTACATCACATTTGATTTATATTAAACGTTGACGGGCTGGGTCCGATTTTATTTTGATTATATTAAATTATTGTTATCTAAATATATCTTTTGTAGTTAATTTATATCGAAAACTCATCGCATTGCACTGCATTCTGTAAGTAGAAAGGTAATTATTTCAATGAAAAATATTGTTTTAAACTGAATTGATAATTGATAAAGACATTTTTTTATATATTTCAATAATTAATTTTCAAAATTTAATTTTAAATTTCAAAATAGAAGATTCGGGTCATCAGATAGATATTCCAACCGTTTAATGAACAGGAGATTTCTCATAATGTTTAAAATAATATAACATTGAAAAAAAGAATCGGTTAATAGACATGGGAAGTTTTTGGACATTATTTATTTCTTAAATTTAATTGGGGAATTGAATATTAAATTTTTGTTACATAAATGATTATTGGATTTTGATAATAAATTGAATATTTATAGAATAATTAAATATATTTATTTTTAAATAATTTTTGATTGTTTTCACATAGTATATTATAGTGTGTTCGTTGATGATGTGATTTATCGTAAAATTTGTTTTATAATACTCTGGTCTGTAGTTATAGTTAATTTTCTAGAAATTCTCATAATGATAAAACTTAAAAGACCACCATAACTTGAATAAATATACATATAAAGTAAAAAAGAGATTATTTTATATTGGGAGCATGTGCTACAAACTTTGCTTATGAAAACTCTCAGAGCACTCCATTGAAATTATTCAGAAGACAACACATCTGATTTCACAGGCGAAATAAATTTATAATATTTTGTATTGTATCTTTTTTGTTAAGTAATAGAACTCATAGTTAAAAACGAAACATGTCTATATCAATGTGATTATTGTAAATTGTATTAATTAATATTTGTATCCATTGTATTGCAATTTGTAAAGATAAAACATTCCAAATTTTTTTTAATACGATGAACATCTGTGGTTGTGTGTGAAGCTCCTAGTGAATTCATTGTAACATGACCCAAAAGTATGGACATTACTGTAGAAGTAATTGATATCATTAATTTGATTTTCATAATATAAAATCTTTTAGTCAAGCGAAAAAATTATGCCATTTAAATAAGCACAGTCACAGCTCGAGAAACAAAAACACATGTGTAAAAAAAATTAATTGATTGGTACTCATTTTTTATATGGTTAGTAATTGCCAGGCTTGCGTCACACCCGGATAATGTAAATAAATGCATATTTATTGATCGCTCAATGCAACACCAACCTACAGTGATCGTAATGTACAAAGTAAGGTTTTTTTAGAAGCAATAATCTAATGGTTTTGTAAATATAAATGCGTTTTTATTATTGCTCCTGTAAATATCGAATCAAGAATCATTACAATTTGCCCGTTTTTATTTTATTTTATTGTAAATGTTAGATGCAAACCAATTTTTTTTTGTAATATTTTTTGCTCGTCCATCATCAATGTATCTATAAATTTAGATATAATTATGATCTCAATATAAATAATTTATAATTATTCTCTAAATTCAATTGATTGTTTCAAATTGGTTTGTATCGTTTTTAGTCTCGATTACGAATGCAATATGTTTACGGGGTCGTTACTGCCGCCCTTATTGATTCAATAAAATCATCACAGTTTAATTGTAATGTTTTTCATTTCAATGTCTATTTACAGTCCATGAAAACTACTCACCAATTTGCAATCTATAAAATGGATTATGTGTTGTGTATTAATTCAATGAGACGATTATCTGTTTTCGTTTGTATATCGTTTTGACACGTCCTTACGGATCCATCAGATCCAATAAATCTTTCATTAGACGCCTTCAGCTCTTAATACTAGGACCAGGCTTAGGACCCCGGTTAGATACTCGTCGAATACTGCAGAGTTCCTAGCCTAAATGGAACTTAACCCATGCATCAGCCCGCTATGTTTCTCGCCCGGATCTTCTCAGCGGGTCGCAATTCCGATCCGTTAGTAGATTCATTTGTTAAGCAGCTGCTCTTGAGTTGTTAGGTCTTCTTCGGAGGCGCTCGGGCGGCTGTTCCCAAGTCCCACCCCTCTTGGCTGAGCCTTAGCTCGCCCACCTGTCCTGGTGGAACTGGAAAGGCCTCTGGGCCACCAGTAATAATAATAATAATATAACTCTTTACTTAACACCACATGTACAGAGTAAGCATATAAAACAAATAATAGACGGTGACATAAATTGGCGGCCTTATCGCTGAAAGCGATATCTTCCAGGCAACCTTGCAGAGAGAGGAATAAGCAAACTGGACGGTGCTATATCTTAATAAATTTACATAAAAATATATACATATATACACACGTGGAAAATAAATACAATATAAGGTGGACTTACATACGATTAAATACAAATAAATATTAAAAATATGCAAGTTAATACAAAATAAGTAGCAACTTAGTGCATAAAATAAGTAGCAACAAGTAGTAATGGCTCAATAATAAATAAAAAACTGCGTTTGGATAACGCAATATGTTTGCACCGATGTTCCGAAAAACAATACAATGAATACCTCTAAAATCAAAATAAAGTTTACTTAGAAAACGGGATATACCTAAGACATCTAGGTTACTTAAAAAATTGTAATATTGGTTTTTATTGTGAGAGCATAACAAAAGTCTGAGGTATCTTTAATGACTAGAGGTCTCGCAGTAGTCGAAATTCGACTATAATTAATTGGAATTTTAAGTTTGTACACTATTGTGATTGTATTTTATACTTCTTTAATCATAAATTTCGCCAAGGCTACTCTATAAAAAATATTAATAAGGACAAACAATATTTAATCTATTCTCAATTTGACCACAGACGCCAAGAACAAAAGTTTGACAATAAATAGTATGCATGCGTGTATGCGTCAAATACATGGTGTGTGTAATGTTTTTTTATTGACTTAATATATATTTTACGCATTATTTAAAAAAAAATATATCATTGTGTACTTCTTCACTATATTCTCTATAAGTGTGGGAAATTTCATACTCCTCCGTCCGCGCAATTTTTGTATTAAGGGATACAAAGTTTTTGCTTCATGTATTATAATATATAGATATGTAAATTGTACGGATAATTTGTTGGATGTATTGAGAGTACAGATGAGGTACCGCCGATCAACTTCTCTGCCGCGAAATAAACATGCGCGTTTTGAAAGATAGGGCAGGCAGCCACTGTACATTAACGAGATATCGTCCTTATCTCATATCAAAAGACAGCGTTGTCATGTCTGGTTTCATACTTCAGTGGTTGTTCGCTCTCGTGGCTCTCGAACTTCAGACTGGACATTTATACTCTTCAGGCTGTCAAAAATGGCGCCATTTTTTAAGGTGGGTCTTGAAGGGTGGAGCAGCCGTTGTAACTATACTGAGACCTTAGAACTTATACCTAAAAGTGGGTGGCGGCATTTGACGTTGTAGTTGTCTATGGGCTCCAGTAACCACTTAACACCAGATGGGCTATGAGCTCGTCCACCCGTCTAAGCAATAAATAAAAAAGGTATATTTAATAAAACTACATTAAATAAATTATTAATATTTATTATTTAATAAATAAATTTTTTTATCTTAAATATATCATTATAAAATTTTACAAAAATAAAATTAAAAAAATATGAAATGAATACTGCACCTAAAAACGAAATATTTTCAGCCCCGTTAGTCATTAAAAACAGCAGTCTGCAGACCTTCCTAAACATAAATAAAAGAAATGAAATACGGAATGTTTGACCTTTCATTTGCAGCCACCTTAATAACCTAGTCGCCGTTATGTCTAATTAATCGACTCCTCAGAATTAGATCTAGGCAGTGGCGATAAATTGTCAGGTTTTGGAGGCGGCTCCGGTTTCTCAGCAGTCGGCATACCCCAGCCCGAATCCTCCACCAGTCGGTACATCTCTGTAGTCTCTACTGTTTCGGTAATTACAGCATCATCACTGGATCTAAAATCATACAAGACTCGGTTTAAGTATCCAGGTGCCCCAGATTGTGCTGGTATGATGCTGTGCAACTGGCGGGAGACGATGTAACGAAAGATGAGCAGATCTCGATTCCAGGTCAATTTCATTGCGCTTCCGAATAATGCATTTAAGTAGAATTAATATAATCTTTAACAACTTGATATATTCGTTAGTAAATATATACTGTTAAACTTACAATAATCATTAAATCGAATTGATTTGTCTAGGTAATAAAGGTAATAAAATATTTGCATATAGAAAAAAATTCATTTCCAATTCCATATTATTTTTAATAGTTAGCTCCATTTTTAAAATTGTAATTTTTTTTTTAATTCTGCAATATTCTATATATCTATTATCAGTCGCTTAGCCGTGGAGAATTTACAGTCGCTAAATAGTTTTAGTGCGAAAAGGAAAAATGAAAAGATGTGAAATACGAAATCGGTTTTTATTTTATATGTTTACATTTTCGTCTAAACATTCCAGACAAGTAGCAAGTATCACTAGATCCAGCGTTGTTAGTTAATTTCGGTTTATAAACAAAATTATTCTTAGCATAATGATCATCATAGAAAAAAAAAAACTAAAATTCTAAAATCGTTTTAAAAATCCTTAAATAATAAAACTAACAAAATAAAAAATTTACATTTAAAAAAAAATAATAGCAAATAATATAATCGTTGTTTCCCCTAAGGAATGTAAAATCTAATAAAAAATATGAAATACATTCTGCAATACAATTAATATGTAGGCAATTTTTAATTAAATGGAGTTTAATGTTTTTTTTTTTTTCATAATTATAAAATACAAATGCCAATAAAGGAATGCAGAGTAAACAAGGAATGTAAATAAAGTTATGAAAAAGAAAAGAGGCACGACGCAATTGTCTACAAATCTTTTGTTCGTAGTCAATTTGTAGACAATTGACATTGTAAGTATATGACATTAAAATACGTAACTACAAAAATGTATATAAAACGTACAGACACGTACGATTACACAGTTCCGTTGTACATAACAATACAATACACCCATGTAATATCACATAATCAATTCCACACACACACATGATTGCCAACTCCCAATGTTTTTATAAGCAATATTCATAAATAAAATACGTATTACACTTTCGAATAATTAATTATGAAATGAAAGTTGATCTAAAATACACAAAAACTGCATTATATTCTGAGTTTATGTTTTTTTTGTCATTTTAATAAAATAGTGCATTTTTTTACTTAGCACATTTCCGTTGGCACGGGCAGCACGAGTGCACTTACAAATCCAATTAAAAAAAATATGAGAAAAAAATACATTATATCGTAAAAAAAGATTCGTTGTAAAAAATGTATAAAAGTTGACACGTAATTAATACTAATTTATTTTATAAGCACTAAAATTTCTTCATTTTTAATTTTTAAAAGTATTTTTTTAAAAGTACCTGGATTGCAATATTAGCTATTCGCTTTTTAACGAGTTATATTTCGTTTATTTTAGGCCGCGATCATTCATTACGGAATTACAGAAATTAGAAAAACGCTTGTATATTAAGTATTTTCAGGCAGTTTTATAAAACGCTGAAGTTTTAAAATGATAACTTATAAAAAAGAGAAATTATACAATATATTGTTCGTAAAACTACATTTAGTTACAAACATGGCTGCTTATTGTTTAACATTTTTTTTTAATTTGAATGGCCAAGTACACACTGCTAAAAAACTGAAAGTTAATAAGTTATCACTTATCAATTGAACATATATTATATAAACTTTAATAAGTTATGTTTGTAAACATGAATAGAACACGCAGCATGTTATTCTTAAAACCAACAGTTTCTGAACTGATTTTTTTTCTAAATACTTTTACATATGTTTATATTTTCTTATATAATAATATTACATATATATAATGTTCCCACCTATTACACAAACACGAAAGTATGAGACACAATAAGCAGTAAATTAAACATTCACCAATCCCAATAATTGATTACATGAAAACAATTCGTTACTTCATTGAAGGTAAATCGAACAAACATAAATTCAGTACACATTTCAATTTGTTTTTTGATTGTACATATTTTGAAATGGCATAGATCTTTGAAATATCGTTTTCATTTTTAATTATTTTTCAATAAATTGTGAATATTTTATGCAATCCATTTGTAAATAAGTTTGTTAGTATGTACCAAATGCGAACGAATTATTTCCATATTATTCACCACAGCACAGAATAATGATGTAAGTATTGTATAAACATACACAGTATGGAATGTAAGACATTTTTCAGTCTTTTATTTTTCAAAATGGCGAAATCAACTCCTATCGATATTTCGTTGCAACGGGGAGGTGGGTTATACAATTGATTTTATATTTATATGTATACACGATCAGCCCAAGCTAACGCACACATAGATCCGTTAATTGTCGAACATAGAATTTTGGCTATTTTCGTGTCGATAACTTTTAATTTCGTTTACAAATCTTAGTAACATATAAATGTCTTTACAACATCATTGACGGAATATCAATTGAGAAATAGTACGAAGAAATAATATCTTTGCAATTTGAAATATTTAAAAAAAGAGATACGATTTACGAGATTATCGATATTTTAACGGGAGTTTTCCAACACTAGTCGGTTGTTTTATCCATTTATGGAAAACTGCATTTGATATATTGAATTGTAGGTTAAGCAATATTGTAAAATTCCATCATTGACATCATCGACATCATCGATACAACGAAACTGAATTTTATCGACAACAAGCTCAGGCCGGTCCGACTTACGGCTTGACGGGCGCGTCCATAGTGGGTATGTAGTCCAGCGCCATGAGGCAGGCGAACACCGTCATGATCATCTTGGGCTTCCGTTCGGTGATGTCCTCGGGCAGCGCGTACACGCGGCCGCCGCAGCGACGAGCCATCGATATCGCGTATTTAGCGTTCGCCAAGTTCTCCTGTCGGATTAATACATGACACCTCAGCTCTTACATTCACAATGTTTTAACATTTTATAAGTCACTAGCGACCCGCCCTCGCTTCGCTTCGGAAACTGTAATTTATTATTGATTTCTCCACTATTTAATGGATGTTATTGTACATATAAACCTTCCTCTTCAATCACTCTATCTATTAAACAAAACCGCATCAAAATCCGTTGCGTAGTTTTAAAGATTTAAGCATACATAGGGACAGACAGATATAGGGACAGAGAAAGCGACTTTGTTTTATACTATGTAGTGATTACACACGACATCAGAATCTATCTCTAATATATAAATCTACAGTGGTTTTTACGGATGTTCCGTTATAACTACTCAACCGTGCATCCGATTGACTTGGAACTGGGTATCCATGTAGAAAATACATGTACTTAATGGACAGGCTAATATTTATATGAGTGTTGGACTACCCTGATAATAATGACAATAAATAATAAGAGTACGGCTAGTTTATTATGATATTCGAAAAAGAAGTCGTCGTGACCTAAATACGTGGCTTCCATTATGAAGAAATATTGTTTTAAAAAAAATCATGATATGAAGTCCAAATCTCCAATTTATAACTCTCAAACAAACACTCTTCAAATTGGAATGCTTGACTGCTTCTAGACACAAATAGGCACGAACTGAAGCCCGCACGGTTAGGGCTTAAAATACGTCCTACCACTACTAATTACGCAAAATAAATAAAATTATATATTATTTTTAATTTTTACGGCTCTGATTACACGATACATGTATATTAAAAAGATAATCGAACGAACCTCCTCGTTGCCTCCCGGTAGCACCAGGTCGTAGTTGATGGAGCCCGGTTTGATGGCATCGATCAAGTCAATAACGACCTTCCCATCGGCCAGTACTTCATCCTGAAAAATATATTTTTATTATGTTATTAACTTGATAAAATAAATTGAATCGAGGAAAATTACTTCGATATTTTTTTTTTAAACCATCTGATTTTTTAACACGAAAAAATACCTTATCGTTTTCTGAGGGAATTTGACTTTTTGTAACGAAATTGAGTCGATGATTTCCCTAAAATTTGTTTATTTACTTATCTTGAAATTTAAAATCGACTGCAACCCCAGACTCGATATAACCACCGTTTATGTGATACCGCAGGAAAGTTCTGGTCGGGATAAGAGACAGTACCTGGAAGCTCCTAATGGAGGATTGCTTGCCGGCGCTCTGCAGCTTATTGTTGACCCACTGAACGATTTCCTTCTCTATGATAGGGTTGCCAGTGTTGGCCAGCCGGGTCAGCACCGACAGCGTGTACGCTCGCATCAGTTGCCAGATCAGAGCTGAAAATTTCAACGAATGTGGTCAAGATATAGTCTTTTAGTATTTTTAGATATCTAATGTCAGCGTGGAGAATGAATGAATGAATGAATGATGATGATGAAAGTATCAAGTATCCAGAAGTTTGCCTGGTCTTGATATGGAATGGGAAAGTACCATAACCTTGTTATGTTTGCCGCTAAGTAACTGGGTTTCAGTCGGTGGAAAACACAATTGAGACGTCGACCTCATGTCTCAAAATCGGTGACGGGGTTAACGTTCTGTATAAAACCCGACAGAACCAAGGAGAGGTTATTAGAATCAATTGCTAACTGAGTTTCTCGCCGGATCTTTTCAGTGGGTCGCGTTTCCGATCCGGTGGTAGATTTTGTGAAGCACTGCTCTTGCTAGGGCCAGTGTTAGCAACACTCCGGCTTGAGCCCCGTGAGCTCACCTATACACGTCAAGGAGAAGCTGAAATAGTTGTCGTGGCATTCGTATCTAACGATGCACCGGTGTTCGAATCCCGCAGGCGGGTACCAATTTTTCTAATGAAATACGTACTCAACATATGGTCACGATTGACTTCCACGGTGAAGGAATAACATCGTGTAACAAAAATGAAACCAGCAAAATTATAATTTGCGTAATTACTGGTGGTATTACGTATTGTGAGTCCGCACGGGCAGGTACCACCACCCCGTCTATTTCCGCCGTGAAGCAGTAATGCGTTTCGCTTTGAAGGGCGTGGCAGCCTTTGTAACTACACTGAGACCTTAGAACTTATATCTCAAGGTGGGTGGCACGTCGTAGTTGTCTATGGGCTGTGAGTCGTCCACCCATCTAAGCATAAAAATCCTCTCAAGGCTATCAGTAATAATCAGTATAGGTGTAAGAACTGATAGTCGAGTATAGGTAGATGCAAAACGCTTGTCGCACCCAGCGTGAGCGTGGCGTTCCCCTCGTTGATGTCTGCGCCCGCGATGCCGACGAGCGAGAAGCCGAGCGCGCGGCCGAGCTCCACCGCGTAGTTGCAGTTCTCCAGGCGCTCCATGAACTTGCGCAGCTTCGAGAACTGACGGTGAACCTGAAGTCACATAATACAAACATACAGTAAAAGCTCTCGCGCTCTCTTTGGGTTTACGACGAAAGGAAGATCTTCCACCGAGCGGGTGATATTGCTCGGTAGACCGACGGTCTCAATGTTGTTGTTCGGAACTTATATATATGCAAGAGAGAGAAAGAGAGATAGTATTCTTTATTGTACACCAAAAAACAAATAAACAGTGCGATACATTAAATACAAAAAAGTACAATTGGCGGCCTTATCGCTAAGAGCGATCTCTTCCAGACAACCATCAGGTGGACAAGAATCATTTGGAAACGAACTACGCACGGTGTACCAGTCCAGTAAAATACTTATACATATATATACATCAAGCTTAGCAAGCTTATCTTGAAAATGTCGTAGCGAGATTCAGGCATCAGGCAAAAAAAATGTGTCCCAATTCCTATATACGCGGATCTAATAGGTACATCGGTACATACAAATTGATAAAAGGATTCCAATATGTAGGTATCCAACCGAATATCCTTTGTAAACGTGTCGTCAATAGACTAATAAAAATATATCTTATTACAAATTTGCCTAAAGTACGTTCTTAAATGTTTTTTTTTATTTTGTCACCATTCCATTTTCACTGTTTCTGTATTCGCAACATATTTACGGAATATATACCGCGCTAATAATCAGCTTCTACTGTATTTTATTAAGTTAGTTATTCATTAAAAATGATAGTAACAATAGTCTCGCAAAAAGAATTATAAACTTATTTTTACTGTCAATTTGTGATATTAGTTCCGCCCTTTATTAAAAGATGGCTCTGTCGTCTAGACAGATCAAAGTAAACCGATATGAAATCCCTTACTTAATTCAGACTATATCATTTCATCATCATCATTATCAACCTGCCCACTGCTGGACATAGGCCTTCCACAGAATGCGGTTTGCCTTTATTTTAATTTTCATTTACCTTCTTCCAATTGACGATGCCCGGCTTGATGATGTCGTACAGCTGGAAGATGACGAGTCCGTCGGTGAGGTCGGAGTACAGCCAGTTCACGTGCGGCGCCACGCCCATCGAGTTCATCCAGTTACGGTACGCTGGTAACGAACACAAAAACCTTTCAGTATTTCATTCGTGAGACGAGAACGTAATTTTAATTACATATACGGTCTCTTATTGAGATTTTATTTTATATAGTTTCCGAAATTTCATTTGTCAGCTCCTCAACCTCAACTGTAAAGAATTCGAAATAACAGAAATTGTAAAATTTAAATTATTAAACGAGAGATTAAACATTAATTAAAGAAATTTACACTGTGTCTATAATATATCGACGGACGAAAGCGGAATTGTCGTAAATTGAAAAACCCAATTTTAGACCAGAGCCATAAAACTATTTAAAAAATTCATAACTCATATTATATTTACAGAGATATATAATGTTGAAAATTACATTGAAAAAACATTGAAAGCTATTGCTTTAATATTTAGACCTTTTTTTAAATCTGCAAGTTTTTTTTATTTTTTAAGAAAGCACGTTACCTTTTTCAATGTCCAAAGTCAGAGAGCAATTCCAATCATAGAATGAACATAGCTTCCACCATAGATAATACCATTTATGATAGTCGAAGCTAATGCGCGGGAAATTGAAATGCAATGAAGGGCCAAGAGAGCATTTACATATCGACGCTTGAACGGCAAACGTGACTAAGCTACAATAACTGCTTTGTACATAAATGATAGGCAATAACTGTCTTCGATGCGCAAGAAAAATATATTTGTAGGTCTATTAAAATAATTTCAATCCTACAGCTAGATTCGTTAAAATATTTTTTTTTTCAGGTTTTTCTACTTTAAATTAGTCTACTGTAAAGTTCACGCATTGTCGCTTAGTCACGTTTGCCTTTCAAGCGTCGAATTATGTATTAAAAACGAATTATTGATACGTATTAAATTGTATAACTCACTTTTCTCTTCCCTAGTCTCATCGAGCTGGTGGTACTCCTCTGCGTCGTCGGTGCGCTGGAGGCCGGGGTGCTGGTTGAAGAGGTTGGCCACGAACGCCAGGTTGAGTTTGTAGACGCCGGCCACCACGTCGGCGGGCGTCACGAACGCGCGGCACCGCAGCTTCTCCGCTTGTTGCAACATTATCTCGGCGCGACGGTGCAGATCGGACTCCTATAGTAACAACAAATATATATTTAAAAATTTTATTGCTTAGATGGGTGGACGAGCTCTCAGCCCACTTCCTGCAAAGACCCTTCCATGGGTCTTTGCAGGAACGTATCTAACGTATTATAGGAGGGCTACCTGTATTATAATTGATCATCACGTGTCGATCACGTGACCCGGTGCTGATGGATGATGCATTATCCACTTTTAGTAGAGTAACGGCTGTGTGACGTTTCCAGTAGACACTTGCTTTTGCATCAGCACAATTCCTCTGAGTATGAGTGCTATGGTTCAACCAAGTGGTTCTGACCCTATCTAGCGTAGCAGAGTTGGGAGTTATAGAGTACCGAGAGAGCCTCGAGCGTGACGCCGGCGTCGGAGGGCGCGATCTGCTTCAGCAGGTAGGAGTAGATCTCGGAGTCGGCCACGTCGTGCTGGAAGTTGGCGCAGCGCCGCGTGACGCCGGCGGACTGCAGCTGGTGGTTGACCCAGCGCAGCAGGATGGCCTCCGGGGACAGAGCCAACAGATCCTCGATGCGTTCCTGGGGACAAACATTGACACATTAATATTAAGCTGACAGAACCTTACATGGCATTAGATAGTGTCACGGTACCATCAAAGTGCGTGGCGCGCGATTTTTTTTTCCCCTACCTATGCTGATAGCCTTGAGAGGCTATTTCAGCTTCACACGTGTGTAGGTGAGCTCACGGGGCTCAAACCGGAGTGTTGCTAACACTGACCCTAGCAAGAGCAGTGCTTCGCAGAATCTACCACCGGATCGGAAACGTGACCCACTGAGAAGATCCGGCGAGAAAGTCAGTGGGCTGTATCTGTGGGTTAATTCGCTCGTCGAGCCCTTTGTCGGTGGCGCGCGAGCAGTCTCGACCAATACATGTGTGGCGGGTAGCCATCATACAACGCAAGATATTTGACAGATGTCTGAATCTCGCTTACGACATTTTCAAGATAAGCTTTCATATATACAAGTTTCAAATAACAACATTCGAACTGTCGGTCTATCGAGCAATATCATCCGCTCGGTGGAAGACCTTATCTCCATCGTTATACACACGTGAATTTCATAAATTTAGTGATAATTACAGCGGTGCACGATCTATTTATTTCTTAGATGGGTGGCCAAACTCACGGCCCAACCTAGGGTTAAATAGTTACCGTAGCCCATGGACATCTAGAACGTAAATGCCGCCACCCACCTTGAGACATGAGGTCTCAAGTCTCAGTTTTTACAGTACAACGGCTACCCCACCTTTCATATCGGAGAATATTACATTATGAAAGAAAGATAGTTTCATACCTGGTCATTCAGCAATTCTGTGAGTCCAGGGCAGTGCTCCAGCGTTATCTGGTTGAAGAGACCAATTCGGATGATCTGCCACAGGAGACCGAGCACCAGATGAGGTTTGCCTGAAGAAATATTTTAATGCATTTTATAAGTGTTACTGTTTTAAACAAAAAAACACTTTTTTCTTCTTTTTTTATTGCTTAGATGGGTGGACGAGCTCACAGCCCACCTGGTGTTAAGTGATTACTGGAGCCCATATACATCTACAACACAAATGTGCCACCCACCTTGATATAAAAGTTCTAAGGTCTCAAGTTCAAACCGAAACGCATTACTGCTTCGCAAAAATAGGCAGGGTGGTGGTACCTACCCGTGTAGGTACTACACAAGACTAATTTCCATTAGTCTATATGTTTATTTATAGAACAAAATTGCAGCTTTACTTTTGATAGACCGAAAATTCCAGAGCCAAATATCTGGCAAGGACTATAAATCTATTTAATAACATACACGCATGTTTTTTTAAATTTTTTATGTCACATAAGTACGAATTTATTGTCATTATCCGTAATGGGGTGTATCATAAGCCTGCATGGGTTGATACACTCATCCTATCTATATCCCATCTATATCAGTTGCGAAGTAGCCGTGAGTTTCAGTTTCAAAGGTGTTATAGACCTTGTTCTTTTGAGACATCGACCTCATGTCTCAAGATGGGCGTTCACGTTGTCATGTCTATGTGCAACGATAATACCTAAACATCTAATCCATCAAAAGCCAACATCAGAAGTATAGCTTCGGATTTATTTTAACAACAAAACTCTATTTATGTTCGGTTTTTGGTTTTTATTATATCAAGACATCTAAGACTGAAGTTTTTCACTAATTATTGAAAGGAATTAAAACAATGGATATTCGACTTAATGTTCATAATGTAAAGATATATTATTGAGTTGTTGCGGTCATCGTACTGCAAAGCACTGCTCTTGCCAGTGTTCTTGTTAACAACAACGTTAGTTTTCAGCCCTGTGAGCTCACCTACTCGCCCGGTGACGCTGATAATATGGTCTCTCAAGACCATCAAATTAGGTAGAAAAAAAAATAGTTTCAAAAACTAACAAAATACGCTTTTATAGAAAATCCAACTAAAAAATAGTTTTTTTTTTATTAAATTTAAATTAAAAATAGTGTAAGAAAAAATGATTTTATTGTAAAAAAAGCGTGGGGTGCTTTTCAGAATATTATCAAAATAACCCTTCTATTCATTCATATCAGTTCATAAAATATTTATAACTACTGATACCATGAACGCCACGCTTTTTTTTACAATATTTTTTTTACAATAAAATAATTTTTTATTACACTATTTTTGATTCAAATTTATTAAAATTTATTTTCTATTTTCTATTTGGATTTTCTATAAAAGCGTATTTAATTAGTTTTTTTAAACTATTATTTATTTTTAATTTTTTAATTGAATTTAAATTTTTTCTATATATTTTTTTTAAATATTGAATTGTCATCGGTCCTTAATAAGTATATCAAATTTCGAGCTAATCCGACGTTTTGAAGGGGGTCAAAATCATGTTCAAAGATTCCGTTACATACATACATACATACGTCTGAAGCTAATAAAAGCGTATTAAAAAGAGTTTTTATATTCGTTTACCTTTAGCAAGATCGTGAGCGTCTATATTGACGATGTTACACCCGATGGCCTGCGACGAGACCAGCGCCAGAGTCAAGTTCTCGTGTTTCGTGTATAACGTCAGGTTCTTCTTGTTGATCGCTCGCTCGTCTATCGTGTCCGGGCACGAGTGATTTATTACTTTGCTGCGAATTTCATTGGACGATTTAATAATAATTTATTACTAATATTACGTTATACAACGTGTTACAAAATACCCGCAAAAAATTTAATTAATTATCGAAGACAAAAATTTTGTCAACCCTACTAAGCTGTCATGTCAGGGAACCAGATTTATTTAACAGAAAGGCCTACGTACATATGTTACTTATTTTAATAGTTTTTCTATTTTTCATTCATAGGTGTTTGCTACCTCAATACAAGAATTATACACAAGTATTTGTTGTACTTGTCAAAAAATTTGTCTTCCGCGAATTAGGTAGAAATGTAAGTACATTCTGCGTAAACTACTCTTTAATTTTACTGAAATAGGGTTTGCACATCAGTGAAAGTAATATTTTTTTATTTTTTTGGGTATGTTATACGGCGTTACTACGGTTCTTAAATATTGAGAATGGACTCATTATAAGGCCCCATTTAACCTTCTTTCGGCTTTACGAGTAGTTTTGTAACACCATATTAAGTTATTTGTTATTATTCATTATTATATAATATACATTAATTAGTATTATAAATATGAGAATGTATTTATTTGTTCTGGTTTCAGGTCGAAATGAAGCAACCGATTGACAATAGTTTTTTTTAAAGTGACGATAATATGCGTTTTGCCTTATTTTGTTTTCAATGTGTGATTTAGTCTTTCAGGTCTCTTAGAAATAGATTCATTCGCAGTATCTTCGGATTCGTCTTTCCCAGAGTCTACAAGATATTCCCGTGCCTTACACAGATAGAGATACACAGGTGCATAATCCTCCAAGCTGGGGCTTCTTTAAAATCTCACTACTTCCTCATAATTCGTAATTTACAGTGGATTATGAAGGTAAAACTCAACGAGGTATTATATTAGGCGACCGATCATAAATACAACAAATTAAAAGACAGTATATACACAAATTACGTCACTTTTACATATTGATGTTAGGGTAAAAACTGATACTGACCATAGAATAAGTCCGTCTTTGAGTTTCTCGTAGAGCTGCTTGCCTTCGGGATCGATCGGCAAGAGATGTTTCAGGTCTGGGTCGTGTTCCAAGTTACTGTTGATCCAACCAGAAAACGCCATCTGTTCTTCGAGTCGTACAGAGTGCGTTGTACCTTAGAAAAAAATAACAAAATCTGCTCAACCAAAACCCATTCTTAAAATCGCAAATTACTCCTTATCCCCTATAACTTAAGGGTCATCCTTTTGCTATACGTTATTTTTGTATAAAAATGACATGTCGTCGATGAAAAGCCAATAACACCTAACCGACCTGTTTGAGAAAACTAACTTTTTAATTCCAATAGACTGAAACTTGAATTTTGCATCGATGAAAATATCTGTTAACTTGTTATCATTATAATATGGGCTGCTAGCAATTCATAGAAATAGCTACTATTAAAATGGCAACAATTTTTTTACGATTTGCAATCAATCGTTTTTTTTGCCTAGTGAGAAATAGATGATCATGCACTTAGGAGTTATTGGTATGTACCCCATCGACGATATACCGGTAAAATGGGGCGATTAGGGATTGAGAGGCGAATCGGGAAAAAACCGGGAAAATCTTTCGACGCTTAATATAAGTTTTATATTCGTTGCAAAATCTTCCATTTTTTGTAGTTTAATAGTAGAATGTTGAAAGTTCACAAAACAACTCTGAATATGCATGATAATAGCTGCTAACTTATAAAAAATCGCGTTTCAAATTAACTTCCTGTGGTGGTAATTGTTTTAGTGCTAGAAACTTTGCTCTCTTTTATTTATTTGATAATAATAGAAGACGACTATGATTTATAAACGTTATTTAGTGTTTGAACCAGCATATATATTAAAGGTAAGTCTCAGTTGTTATTGGTTTTAATGTATTTGATTAAATAAAAATACATGTAAAAATCTGTTGTTTTTGGGGATATTGGGGACGTCTTAGGTACAAATAACAACGAAAAAGGGGTCAATTGGGATGAGAATACGTGAAATGGAAACGACCTAAGTATAAATAGGTACAGGTTTGTAGGGTTGTCTATGTAGTTATAACAATATTTTTTAAATTTGTTGGTAAAAATCTGGTTTATTCGAAGCGAAATTGGGAATAAGTCTTTAGTTGAAATAGATAAGCAATTTAATATAAGTAAGTCGATTTTGCAGAGACATGTAACAAGATCAATGAAATCTCAAGGTGGACAAAAATGTCTAAGTAATACATAATAAAATATTTAATATTTGTTCAGAGTGGGGGTATTCATCTGATTAATCCATGGAATAACCGACACACCTAATCTCTTAACCCAGATAGAAATATCAGCACTGTCGATTGCACCTATAATTGAGGTGATGTCTGCCATGTACTTTTGTCAGTTTTTCAATTTTTTTTATTGATGATCACTTTGTTGGTGCAACTAAATAAATAAATAAATTAAAACTATATATAAAAATAAAAGTAGTGCCAACCCTAGCAAATTTCTCATTTCGTCCCAATTAACCGCAATTTTCGGGTAAATAGGGATTACACCTATTTTTGCATTTTTTGCTTAAACTGGAATGCTAGTTGCATAATTTTAAATTAGACAACAAAGATGCTCCCAAGACTCAATCATTTTGATCCTGATATAGCATTATATACATCAACAACTACCTTAAAATTGCTCATAAAGTTGGAATTTGTCCCTAATCGCCCCATTTTACGGTACTTTATTTTTATGCGTCAAAATGACAGTGACATAATGTGGGCGTGCACAGAGTATAAACATATTGCATTACGTATAATTGAAATAACATTGCGTAGAAGCACACCTTATTCAACATTACTTCTAAGCTATCCCGTTTATTTAATGGTAATTTTTTTTCTACTTTAATGGGTGGACGAGCTCATAGCCCACCTGGTGTTAAGTGGTTACTGGAGCCCATAGACATCTACAACGTAAATGCGCCACCCAGCTTGAGATATAAGTTGTAAGGTTTCAGTATAGTTACGACGGCTACCCCACCCTTCAAACCGAAACGCATTACTGCTTCACGGCAGAAGTAGGCAGGGTGGTGGTACCTACCCGTGCGGACTCACAAGAGGTCCTACCACCAGTAATCATGATAAGTGGTGAGTTCAGCCACAAAATTTCTCAACATTAATTAGCATTTAATACAACGGGGTCACATTTAACACTAATCATACCAACACTTACTGGTACCAATTTCTACCAAAGCGAGTAGATAACGGTATACGATAAGTATTACTTACTATAATAACTATAGATTAATTGTTAAGAAAAAGTTCATGACTTGTCAAAAATATGCAAAAACAATAAGATGAGATGTGCGTTTTCAATGCAAAAAGGTTAAAAATGGGTCATTTGACCCGTTATGGTATGTTTAGTGTTAACATAGAATGATGAGAATCGAATACCTACCATCGCTTGATGCTTCGCTCATGCCTCCCAGGTGTTCCAAATTCTCTTTTTTACTGACCGCCTGCTTGAAGGTGCTCGACACCTGAGACAATTGAACGTTAATTTCAACAATCTGTAGGATGTAATCCTTGAATATTTTTACAACTACAGACGAACCGCTTTACTTCCGATTCAAATAAAACAAACTATTGATCAAAACCTATTCGTATACGTCATGTGGAAATCAAGTTCAAATGGGTTAAGATTGGAGATCTCTGTGAAACACATCCAGCCATGTTTACGATTTAATGATAGATAACTGGCAACAGATCACGCCACAGACTTCCGGCCCCAATTTAGGATTACCTGTGTTATATGTACTAGAGACTGGCATAGATACTTATATCCTTCTTTTCTTTAATAAATACATATTTAAAGATAACTAGCGACCCGCCCTCGCTTCGCTTCGGAAACTGTAATTTATTATTGATTTCTCCACTATTTAATGGATGTTATTATACATATAAACCTTCCTCTTCAATCACTCTATCTATTAAAAAAACCGCATCAAAATCCGTTGCGTAGTTTTAAAGATTTAAGCATACATAGGGATATAGGGACGGAGAAAGCGACTTTGTTTTATACTATGTAGTGATGATCATCCAGATAAAGAGCAAACAAATCTGTTCATCAAACAAATGTTTGCCTGATGTGGAAATCGAAGCCACGATCCTCAGTGCAAAAGTCAGGGGTGCTAAATACTGTACCACCGAGTAATTTTTTTTTTTATTGCCCTTGTAGGCAGACGAGCATACGGCCCACCTGATGGTGAGTGGTTACCGTCGCTCATGGACTTCAGCAATGCCAGGGGCAGAGCCAAGCCGCTGCCTACCGAAATTTCTACCTAATTTCATTGAGAATCATTTTAAACAGTGACATTATCTATTTCCCGATTAGCTAGCTTAACAATAGTTCACGTCATCCTCCACCTATTTTATCTAAAAAGAATTACATTAAAAAGCTAACGAGTACTAATCAGATGGTGATGTCAGCGTTTCCAACGATTTCATTGTACGCATACGCCACAGCGGAGTACCTAGTGAAACTATATAGCTATACAGGAAGCAAAAACTTTGTACCTCTTTTTACGAAAATTGCGCGGACGGAGGAGTATGATATTTCCGACACTTATAGAGAATATAGAGAAGGAGTGGAGAATGTTATTTTTTTTTTAAATGATGCTTAAAAATACATTAAATCAATAAAAGAGAACATTACACACACTACCGTGTACTTGACGCATACACGCATGCATACTATTTGTTTATTGTCAAACTTTTCTTAGTCCGTGGTCAAATTGAGAATGGATTAAATATTGTGTCTTTATTAATTAATATTTGTCTAAAGTGTAGTCTTGGCGAAATCTGTGAATAAAGAAGTATAATAATATTTGACAATAGTTCCTTAATAATGTTCAAACTTATAATTTCAATTAATTGTAGTCGAATTTCAACTACCGCGGGACCACTAGTCATGAACAATTTCCCTTTCCCTTTTGACGAATACGATCCAATATGAAGCGTCTATTTCGACCCGGAACACCAATAATCTGGTCACGGAATGCGCTATGTTAGCTGTTAACCCATCAAAACGGTCATGGGGATTAAATAACTCGACATAAGTTACGAGGGCCTCATTTGTGGGACGTTGTAAATCTTGAATTACGCATTCACGAAGTTAACTGCCCTATACTGGGGTCCGAGATTATTTAAGTATTGCGCCATACGGATATATTTGATTGTATTAAATGACATTGTTCCGGAACATAGCGTGCCTATAAAAATACTACGGATTGAGATCTCTCAATTCCTCGTGTCCTGGAATGGTTTGCGGACGCTTTATTACCATGAATTCCAAGGAGCCGCGAAGATGTAATGGCGTTTTCCATTTAAAGTATACACCGATGTTTCCGGTTCGCGCCGAGCGTTCACGAATCGGTAAAATGACATTCGTTTCCTTTTAAGAGATACTATTTATATATGGAAGTTGGCTGACGTTTAAAGATTGTATTTAACACTTTTTTTCCTTCCTAAGCTGAGAGCATTGAGAGGCTATTTCAGCGTAACCTTAACTAGTAGGCGAGCTCATGGGGCTCAAACCTGACGACGTTGCTAACACGAACCCTAGCAAGAGCCGTGCTTCGCAGAATCTACCACCGGATCGGAAACGCGACCCACTGAGAAGATTCGGCGAGAAACTCAGTGGGCTGCGTCTGAGGGTATTTAACACAATGTTACGAGTATGTTATCTAGAAAAGTGAGCAGCATGGTAATTATAAAATACGTTCACAGATGACTGAATTATTATTATCTACCAATCGGTGGTTGTTTTGAACGTGGATAACTGAAGGCATGAATGGACGAAGCGGTTAAGTACCTTTTTTAAGATTTTTGAGTTTTTACATTGAATGAAAGTGCTATGTGCCTATAAACCATATTAGACCTTAACAGTGCGGGTTTAAAGGCTAATTTTAGAAACATGTGATGAAGAAGTTATGCACGAAGAAAAGTACAAGTATCAAAAGTTTGTTGCCCGTTCTCTCAAAATTAACAAATGGTATCATATTCCCTTCGTCCACTCATGTCTTCGATTATTTACTTCATCGCCATGAAAATGCGAGCGTACGTGAGTGATGGCGGCTTTTTTTTAAACATCAAGTGCTACGTCATTATTCAAAAACTACGATGGAGTTTTTACAAAAAGGTTGTTTGTCCAATTTTACTAAATGAAATTTATTTTTTTCTATAAATTCTTAGTGTTCGAACAAAGATTTTCTATGACATTTCTGGAACCTTCTCACCTGTTGTGCTTTAAGATTGGCGCACAGATCCTCAAACTCCACAAGCGACATGCCGTTCCGTCTGGCGTCGCCGTTCAAACTTCCGTTGACACCTCGTCCGTGCTTCCCTCCATTATCGTAATACTCCTCGATCATGCACCGCACCTAAAGAAACAGCGCTTGAATTAGCGAAGAATTGAATATATTTTGTTTTTTTTAAAAAAAAAGAACATACCGCGTAAGTTAGCTAGCAGAATAAGAGCGGTTGAAATTTCCATTGACAATTAAAAAAAATAGTTAAAAAAACTAACAAAATACGCTTTTATAGAAATCTCAACTAAAAAATCGGAAATAAATTTGAATTAAAAATAGTGTAATTAAAATTCATTTATTCTTACACTATTTTTAATTCAAATTTATATTCTATTTTTTAGTTGAATTTTCTATAAAAGAGTATTTTGTTAGTCTTTTTAAATTTTTTTTTTTTTTTTCAATTTCTTCAATATTTTTTTTTAATTTTTAATTGTCATCGGTCCTTAATAAGTATACCAAATTTCGAGTTAATCCGACGTTTTGCAGGCGGTCAAAATCATGTTCAAAGATTCCGTTACATACTAACATACGTACCTCTAAAGCTAATAAAAGCGTATTAAAAATGAGAATTGTTTTCAAAAACTTCAAAAACTGTAGAATACCTTCCATTGTGGAATCTTATATCCAACGCCATCTAGAGCATCCTTCAGTTCCTTCAAGTCGATGTAGCCATTGCCGCTAGTGTCCAGCTGTGAACAAAGGAAAGTTGTTTTCTGTACATTTTGAATTTCGAACTCTTTCTTTAATTATTTATTTATTTAATTATTTATTTATAACTTCTTATACTAGAAAGTATAAAGGCGGACTTAATGTCATAGGCATTCTCTAACAGTCTACCTTAGGGGAGTACAGAGATGAAGCTTATTGAATTAGTACTTATGTATTGACGTACTCAAGGAACGACGGTATTTAACGGAAGCTCGTAGATATCTCATCTTACAACAAATATGATCAGTTTCTATTCGATTGTAAGAATGACAATTAAACCGAATCTCGAAGCATTATCACGGCAGATATGGGCCAAGCGTTAGCATTTACCCGCCCATCTACAAAACGAATTACTTCCGATAAAAACGTGGAAGCATGACACTTATAGAGAGCTATCCCTTATGGCCATAGAATTGAGTAGTTATAAAGACAGGAGCCGCATCTACCGCCTTCTAATTTACTTTTTATTAAAACGGTCACACAAACTAAATTGAACAGATTGATTATTGGGATTAAATGATCAATCAGCATTTAAATGAGCTGAATGAAGCAATCAATGTGACCTCATTCGATTTCCAAACAACAAAATTTAGTATACACACACACACACACACACACACGCACACACGCGCACACACACACACACACACACACACACACACACACACACACACACACACATACATACACACATTGAACTCGTACGACGTTCACGTTCTAGAACCACTCGTCCATTGTATTAATTAAGTTGTATCCACGAAAACAAGAAACGCTACGCGTAATTAAAATCGCGAACAAAAATACAAGCTTATAATCAAATCAGTGTACGTTAGCGTAAAACAAAAAATACTACGCGAATGTAATAATAACATTTAGTGTAATGTACATATTATACCATTTCGGAATCGCACTGAAATTGAAAGTTATAAGCTTTTAACTAGACTAGAGGTCCCGCAGTAGTCGAAATTCGACTATAATTAATTGGAATTGTAAGTTTGTACACTATTATGATTGTATTTTATACTTCTATAATCACAAATTTCGCCAAGACTACACTATAAAAATAATAACAAAGACAAACAATATTTAATCTATTCTCAATTTGACCACAGACGTCAAGAACAAAAGTTTGACAATAAATAGTATTCATGCGTGTGTGCGTCAAATACATGGTATGTAGTGTGTGTAATGATTTCTTTATTGATTTAATGTATCTTTCATGCACTATTTAAAAAAAATATTAGTATTGTGCACTTCTTCTCTATATTCTCTGTAAGTGTGGAAAATTTCATACTCCTCCGTCTGCGCAATTTTCGTAAAAAGGGATACATACATACATAGTTTTTGCTTCACGTATTAATATATAGATTATAAACTCAAAATGAATGACCGTGAAACATTAAAAATTAAGATTTTCGGTCCTATTAAACGGAGTGGACTGCTTGAACATGTAAAACCGATGAACCTTGGGCTTGCCTTATTCGTTTCTTCAACGATATTGACTAATGTATTTTTAAACTCATACTGATTTATTTATTCAGAGAATTTTTGCGGTAGGCAGCGGCTTGGCTTTGCCCCTGGCATTGCTGAAGTCCATGGGCAACGGTAACCACTCACCATCAGGTGGGCCGTACGCTCGTCTGCCTACAAGGGAAATAAAAAAAAATAAAAAAACGAATAGTATATATTTTTTGGCTTCGGTTAGCGTTCATACGAAATTAAATCTGATAGCTTTTTTTATCGGTCTTTACAAAACTTGACTCAAATTCTTGTGACGTCATTTGAGGCCAATATAAAAGACGAGCTATCCATTAATCGTACAATAATACACAAATGACTAGCCACATTGTACATTAATTAGTGATTTATATAGTGATTTAAAATGCATTTCGTTATTTTTTTAAAAGAAACAGTGATCCCTGTAATTTAATCAAGATTCACTATAACTAGGCGTGGGGAAGTACAGTTCATCGAGTGGTCAACATTTCAAACTAGACACGACCTTTAGAAATGAAGAGATCGACTCAGAAGAAGAAGATAACTAGATATTAGATTGTTACGTTATTGTATGCCCATTTGCCTAGTACAAACAGATTAGTGTTGTCAACAAGTCTTGCTTGAACCATCTCAATCTATAGCTTCATCTCATTATTTTAATCCCTTGCTTTTAAGACTACAGCGTATTCATTACATCACTGTAAATTACTAATTAAATTACAGTTACTGATATCAAAGGGTTTAAATTCGAATTTTGGGGACGCTGTCTTGTTTAATGACATGTTAATGATCAGGTCAACTTTATCGCTGTTTTCATTCTATCTAGAGTTATCTATAGATCACGAGGAACGAACTACGTAAAGTTCTATTTAACATCGTTTATACTTCAAATAGATCATTATAGGCGTCTTTATCTAGTCATGACTTCACCAACGCTTCGAAGCGCAATTTCACCACCAAGAAGAATCGACAAGAAAGCGTTGTTTACCCGTTAGATTATTTTTTATTAAAATTAAAAGCGAATGCACCCCTAATTAGAGGAGTTTTACTAATAGCTGTTTATAAAAACTGAAGACAACGAAACATTTTTACATCGTTTGTGTATTTAAAAGAACTTTTGGTTTTTAAATTAATCACATCTCATCAGTATAATAAGGAATGAGGTGCTGACGGTAAGAGGAACTGTGCTCTAGCTAAAAATTATTATTATTTACTTTGCAAACATTCCAACCATGCCACAGAGATCTACTAAACATCATTACTAGTTAGATAACGGTAATAAGTCTTACATTATTCATTCATTTCGTAGAAGATTATAATTATAATAAACATATTATATTATGTTACAGCCGACATGCAATCACCAGTAAATATGAAAATTTATAAATATTTCCGTTTTCATTTTTATTCCCTTCCTTTACATATATCCTAAGAAAAAATTATAATTGGCTGTAGAATTCGAATTCCATCGCTCATACGAATACCCGGGCGTATTATCCTTTAAGCCAGTCTAGGCCATAGACGATTTTAGATGCCTGACTATCCACTTATAATTCAACGAAGTTTGTCTGGCATAGTACATTCTTTCGACGACACTATATAGTCTTTCCACTAAATACTTCTGTTCCTTAGGTTTAGTCATAAACGACGCGTGGCCCAGTTTCACTAATGGATCATAAAAATAATGATCTAAGCTAACTGCATTTATTGTAAAACAACAACGTTAAAAAAAGGAAATCCCAATTAATTCGAGCGATGAGGCAGCAAAAAAAAAAGCATTAATTGCCATTACGTCACAGACCAACAACACAACATATGCTGTTTGTTAATGATGGTACGGTCCGTTTGCCACCGAAATGTAGTAGCAAGGTCGTTACAACGCAATCGTGTAGCAGCTAGTATGCATTTCATAATTTTTTATTAAACACGTTTATTTTTGTTAAGTGAAACTTGCAATGCGTAAGTACCGGTGATAATTGTAGGTCCAAACAGGTTTATAAGTGTGAATTTTTTTTTTGTCCTTGTAGACTACCGAACACACGGCCCACCTGATGCTGAAAAGGTTACCGTCGTCCATGGACTTCAGCAATGCCAGAGGCAGAGCTAAGCCGCTGCCTACCGCTTAATACTCTCCGCAAGCCTCGTTTGAAGGACATGTAATAGCGCTCGGGAAACACCGTGGAGGGGAGCTCATTCCATAGCCTGATTGAGAGTTTGACTTCACTTCAGATGATTCGTGTTGCGGTGTATATGCGCTTCGATAACCAAAGATATGCAAAAAATCGATTCAATTAGAACTGCCAAATCAACTCTGCCAAGTTTAATCACAAGCAGTTTAGGGGCAAACATAATATCTTATATTTAATACAGACACGACAACCACATGCGATCCCCAATTTCTTTTTGTATTACGAATGCCGAAAACATTTACGCGACAAAAAAATATGCACGCCCAATACTGAGTATCTCTCACATAGGTTCTGAAGTCGTCGTGGCTTAAATGATAAGACGCCTGGTGCATTCGTATCGAACAACGCGACTGTGCCGGTGTTCGAGTCCCGTAGTAGAATACTAATAGTACTAATCCGAGTACTAAGTACTAATATTTCCGAGTCCCGCGTACTAACATTTCTAATGAAACACGTACTTAACAAATGTTCACGAATGACTTCCACGGTGAATGGAAAAACATCGTGTAATAAAAATCGAACCCGCAAGAATTATCATTTGCGTAATTACTGGCGGCGAGGCGTCTAGTGAACCCGCACTGGTAGGTACCACCACCCTACCTACTTCTGCCGTAAAACTTTAATACTTTTCGGTTTGAAAGGTAGGGCAGCCGTTGTCCTGTAAAAAATAACTGAGACCTTAGAACTCATGCGTCAAGGTGGTTGGAGGCATTTATGTTGATGACGTGTATGGGCTCCGGTAACCAATTAACACCAGGTGGATCGTGAGTTCGTACACTCATCTGAGCAATAAAAAAAGGAAATCCTAACTTCGACCGGGAACCGAAGCCCGACCTTGTGATACTACGATAGTGCGGATCACTACTATCAGAATCTAATGATTTCTCTAAATTCGTTGGAACTAAAACTGTGATGTGCCCTCTTTATAAATGTTATCGTGCCGTGTAATTAGGTCGATACAGTTAAAATATAATTGACTGAACGTATCAGCGATAACCCGATGTAATTAATAAACTATACTATCAAGACATATAACATTGGTTAGATCATTTATATTGTTTTGTTTGTGTGAATAGGTTATCGGCTATTGCATTCTTCAAAAAGTTAAAACTATATTATATAGTTCAGTAATGGAACACATATTAGTAAGATTGATGATGATTGATGATGGATGTACACGATATTACGCCTCATAAATAATTACTATTGTAATTTTAAATGTTTATTTGTTAAATATTCCCAACGGAATAGGGACGATTGGTAATAGAATGACCGACAGAGAAATTGAGCGTATT